AAGTAATATCATAAAATCATACTGTTACAATTGTAATGCTATCAACCAGATAATAAACCCAGTTATACCAAAATAGTAGACAATCATCATCACATCTTTTAAGCCCAAAATTGTATCCCGAAACCTTTACCACTCCTGAGCTACATGACAGAACTGTCTCCTGCAACTCAATGACCCAAATAACTCTTTCTCCCTAACACTAAATTTCAGTCCCCACCGCTTCCCCTCCCCCTTTACTTAGTACTCTTTTTTACTTTAGTACTCTCTTTTCTACCCACGCTCAATATCATTCATCTCTTTCCCACTAGTGCTCTCTTTTGTCCACACCCAATGCAATACTGTCTTACTCAATCCCAGTACTCTCTTTTCTCCACACTCAATCCCAGTACTCTCTTTTCTCCACACTCAATCCCAGTACTCTCTTTTCTCCACACTCAATCCCAGTACTCTCTTTTATCACTACTCTTTTCTCCTCCACTTTACATGCATATACTTTCTAACTAGGGCTGTACCGAATATTCGCTTCGGGGCCGAATAGTATTGGCGATATTCGGTCGAATAGTTGCAGTCAGGCCAAATACCAATAGTAGTTACCTTACACCCGCTTCTGCATACACGGCCTTAATGATGACAACATGAAATGATCCGTTTTGTTGAAAGTTAATGCAGCTTTCATGCAGCTGTCAGTGACACTTTCCAAGTTTGTTATGATACATAGCATTCTTTCATTCCTAGTTATTAGTTACCACAGACTGACTGAAGGATGCAAAACGTTTTTATAAGTACTTGGGTTCAAACTTCAACTGCTCCAACATGCTGAGAGAATAAATTTTTATACTATGCCCTTCAACAAATCCAACATTGATAAGACCAGTCGTGTCATATGGCCCCCAAATCTTGAAGCAGAAATGAAAAAAGATAAGGTTTTTAAAAACAGTCTGCACCAGTAAACCTCAAGGGCTGAGAATGCTGAAGAAGAAGATGACTATTCTGTGCTACTTTATGTGAAGTAAAAGTTCAGCGTACATTTGACATTATGAATGTGTGCTTTTTTGTGTGTGGATATATTTCATACACTATTCGACCAAATAGTGAAAATCACTATTCGGTACAGCCCTACTTTCTACCCATATCTTTACTCCATAACGTATATGTACTCTTTTATTTCTCCACACACTCAACATCAGTGACTGAGTGAAAACCCAGACCAATGAGTTTTATAGTCTGACTGAAGTAATAATTTTTACAGGAACAATCCCATGCATCATTACTTTCACATATAAAAATGTTACATGCAAAAACAAGGGAACCACGTGGTGTAGCGGTCAGATGCTCACCTCCGGATCTACAGGTCATAGGTTCAGGTCCTGACAGTGCCAGATTTCTTCCACCTTGACTACCAGGCTGATCCTGCCTCAAATGGGTACCAGTACCGTCCTGGGAAGTAAAGGTGGTCGGAGTGATGTTGACCGCCCACTACGTGCCAATTAGTCTATAAAATATAGGTCTAGCTTTATATTCCCAATGTGCCTAAATGGGTGGAAAAGGTCCTTTTACATGCAAAATAAGATGGGTTGGGGGGGGGGGGATATACATCCCTTGTAGGAAACAAATCTGCTATCAGAGTTCTCCAGAGCTGCTAACCAAACATAAGATGTAAAAACATACATAATGTAAAATAATACCCAATCATGTACAGTGCAATGCTTGGGATAGAAAGAGTTAATACAACAAATTTGCTTGAGTAGGGTTGGTTAATGTAACAACTGAAAAAGTAGTTATGAAAAAAAAAAAGCAAATGATTGAAGGAGCAATCAATGAAAGTGTAGAGTTGCTTGGTAGTGGATGACTTCAGCCAATAGGCAACAGAGGGGAGAAAAGGGACTTCGTGGGACAATACAATTGATTTATGCATCCTGATCACAAGAAGATACATTGTTTTTTGATTGACAAGAGAAAGGGCAAGGGTGTGGTCACTGGACCTGTAGTTATTAACTTTTACTTCAAAATGAGACAGCAGATTAGCAGGCAAATAGCCACACACCAACATCAGCCACATACTGCCAAAAGTCCATCAACGATCAAATAAATCTTCTTAGCATTCACCGGTTGTAAATTCTGCTGGAATGTTCTGGTTGTTGTCCACTTCTGAACTTTGGTCTTCTTCCTGAACATGCGTTTTTGCATTACGTTTACACAGATCTGGCTTATTTATATGCAGACTGTTGGTTCCTTGTCATTCTGGCAGATGCACTGTGACTTAGAGAAAAAAATACCCCAAACTATTTGCCTTTTATGACATGCTTGTTAGGAAGTAGTGGACCTATTTACCCCAAATTCCATATGAGGAAATACAAGATAAAAATTAAAAATTAAAAAAAGGGTAATTACACAAAATGGACCATTTAAAACATTACCTTGGCTCCCAGGTCGACCCAGCCTCAAATGGGTAGGAGGTGAAGTCCTGGGAAGTAGAGGTAGCCCCCCCCCCAAATCGAGGGCCGATTGGTCTACAAAAATATGCTACTGGCATATGAGGTTGGCCATCAAGAAAACCTAAACGCAGCAAAGTAATCCCGAGATTCAAATCCTACCGTCACTAATCACTTCTAGGTTTTCCTTCAGTCCAGTAAGGTTTGTACCCCTGAATATACAAAATCTAATGAGGCATCTTCATCCCATTCAAATTCACTCAACTCCATAAAATCAGGCATGCATCATAGGTCATAACAATAACCCAAAAAAAAACTCATTCCCAGTACAATTTAGCGTATCAAACATTCTATTCAAGCAATTCATGAGTTTGCAAATTTTCCCATGCCAGGATGTTCAGATCAGTTCAAGCCACAAAAATGAATCTAATGAGCTGTCTAGGTTTTTAAGAAGTTGAATCACATCTGTTTTTTTTTCCATATGCTGATGAAGATGTTCTAGCTGCAATGTTCATTCTTTTAATTCTGATTTAGTTCTGACTAGCTCTTTATTTTGTTTAAAAACTGATTTTTCTCATTCACAATCATACACTCTTCGGAACCAAAGAGTATTTTGCACCAGACAGTTAAGGAGGGACAAATCGAAACCATCACAATAGACAGAAGAATGTTAAAACAGGCCATATGTATATATATATATATTGGTTTTTTTTAAGTGCAGCTCTACTGCTAACTTTGGCAATATTAGACTGTTATGCCTCAGATCCTTCTAAAGTGCAACATTACTATCAGAAAACCAGTAGTAAGGTCTTTTTTCTAAACCGTCTACCTTAGAAACCAAACTGGTAAGACAGGACTTTTTAAACATGCCAACCCAACTAAACCCTAATCCACAGAGCTTTGCCAACATACATACAACTTGTTAAAATAATACACAATGTTGCCCATTAAAATAAGCAGCCAGGTTTCTTGAGTATACCACGCCAAACATAGAAGATATAACAATAAAGCCTGCATTGCGTAGGGCATAACGGCTTTAAGGGACCATATTAAAAATGGAAGCAATATTCTGCACCAGACATAGCAAACAATCCAATCTTTAACCCCTAACATGAAAGATGTTCATTAACACGTTACATTCCAAAGCTGTTCACTTTAGAGTAGGAAACTGTTAGCCTGATGCAGTTAAAGGAATACAAATGGATGGAGTTTAAGTAACAGAATAATATGACATATGTTAAGGAATTAATACCCTAAACAGAATACCCTATCTAAAAAACTCTACCTGTGTATCCTTTACCATTATGTATGTTACAGAACCAACCCAAGCATTGTTTTTGCTGCTGGTGATTTCACAAGCAATGTCACGTTCAGTAGTTTGCCTAGTTTGCCGTGGATTTTTTAATGGTTGGTACTCCATACCAGTCAAAATCAACACAAAGCAGTCTGCAGCGGCCACCTAAACCGCCTGCAGCCAGGTATTTCAGAATTACCAAGCGTGTCCACAACACCTATGCCACATCTGCCGACTGTATAGAGTAACTAACTAATTTACAGCAATTATTATAAGAAATAATACAGAGTAGTTAACACACATGTGATGACTTTACTGGTACTGAAGAAGTAACTTGTACGAAGGCAAGCAATCACTACAGTTCACTCTCAATATGAGTAAAATATTTCAATGAAATTAATCAGAACGGACTATCACCAACGCATGTTAAAAAAAAGAGTGACTCTAGTTGAGCTGATACCAAGCTACTAATTTAACAGCCCAAAATATGATTTAGAAATTCACCAAAGGAAAGGGTAAAGGGTTCTCAAACCAGTACTTTTCTACTGAAATTTTTGCCACTGCCATAAAATCTTGCTCTGGTAATCACAGAACTCATCTTTTCTTGGAAAAGCATTCTCTACATACAAATAAGTCGCTTATCCTTAATACAGGCATTCTCCACACAAATGTTCAGCATTCTGTTATCTAACACAAATAAGGAAACACTGTCCACTGTCTTCTAAATTCCTTTGTTATGTTCTGTTTCTCAAATCCCTGTTATATTTCAGCATTTCAATTTCTTTCACCACATGGGATACCTATCTGTTCTGTTGTTTTAATTAGTTTTGTGATGCACAATTCTTGTTTTATTCATTGACACAGATGTTGCTTGAACCATCCAGTTGTGTCTGTGCGGGTCTTTATGCCCCACCACTACTGAACTTCCTAAACATTTCCTGTTGGTATCTTTCAATTTTTCCACACACAGTGTTTCACTGTGCTACAGACAAGCATGTGAATCCTAGCCCATGGTAAGTGTGACTAGCAAGACCCGCTTGTGTTAAGAAAAGTCTTTCACAATTACAGTATTGGCTTTGAGGACTATTATTTTATCATCACATAAACATATTTACTTATATTATATATAATTCCTAAACATACTTTTTTGTTATATTGATTTGGTCTTCCGGTATTACCAATGCACAACAAACAAGCATATACATGCTCAGAAAATCATCCTAACTGGCATAATTCAATATTGTTAATTGATATTCTATCTGAAGCGGCAGCACTTATTTCTCCATGGAGGGATAACGCCAGCTAGTCAATGGAGAAAATGTTTCTTTAGTTGCCTGTGGGCTTGTAAACCTGGCCATGTAATGAGGGCCACCAGCCTTGTCATTAGTTCCTGAAAAATAAACCAAACCAATGTTTTTATTAGAATTAAGAAAAGCACAGAAGAAATTACAAATTACTGCATGGAGGTAAGAAAAATGAGGAAAACAATCAAAATTTTGAGGAGAATAATAAAAATAATTTAAAAGAAATCAAATTACGAAAAGAAATGGTTATTCATACTATAGGAAAAGAATACTTGTTCTTAGAGAAAACTAATATGAGAAACAAGTTTGCATGTACTAACAGGCACTGGCAAAAATAACGGAAGATAAAGATATTCATTTACTTGAGTCTTACATAATGCAGATATATTTAATTAGGTCTTATTTATAATGCAGCATTATTTAGAAGTCTTACATTATAGTAAACTACTGGATGTAAATTTGCATAGAAAAAACCACAACAGCCAAAGAATGCTGGGGTTGGTTCTGCAACGTCTTGTCAAGAATATATAACTAACTTTAACTTAAACTGAGTATCATTTTTCATTTTTGTAAAGTGGGCTTATTATTTTAAAATTCTGTGCCATCTCCACAATAAAGGTAGGTTACAGTGCACTCTCTGCCGTCTTTGGGAAAATTATGTGATAAGCCCTAATCTCTTCTATGGTTCGATTCTAGAACCATTGTTTGAAAACCATGAGAGCAGCATTTTTAAACATTCCATTCACTGTGGAAATAGGACCCTAGTAATCAAAGGTCAAGAAACTGTCACATGCATTACACTAACCTCTTGAGCACAGTAACATCTGGCTAACTCTTATTTAACTAGCAACATCAGGTTAATTCTTCATCTAGCAACATATGGTTAAGTCTTACTTAACTAGCAACACCAGGTTAACTCTTAATCTAGCAAAACATGGTTACGTCTTACTTAACTAGCAACATCAGGTTAACTCTTATTCAATCTAGCAACATCTGGTTATGTCTTACTTATTCTAGCAACATCTGGTTAAGACTTACTCTACCATCATCAGGCTGTCTTACTTAATCTAGTAACATCTTAGTAAGTCTTCGTGTTGAGTCTTATTTAATCTCATTTAACCTTACTTAATCTAGCAATACTGGATTAAGTCTTACTCTAAATAGCAAAATTTGGCTGTTTTATTTTATCTGACAAATTCTTACTACATCCAGCAAAATCTAGCTGTCTTAATTTGGCTAAATCTACCTCAATCTAGCAATGTCAGATTAAGTTTTACTCAATCTAGCAACTTCTGCTGCTAAAGAGAATTCTGACACACGCCTCACCTGACAAGCGAGCACCTCCAAAAGGCTGTTGCCCCACCACAGATCCTGTACTTTTGTCATTGATGTAGAAGTTCCCAGCACAATATCGGAATGCATCAATCAGTTTTTCTCTGGCAGCCCTAGTCAAATAAAAATTATTTACATCTTCATGATATCTTCTTTGTCCTAACATTCGCTGTCTGTAAACTCTGGTGGAAAGTTTTGGTTGTTTGCCCACTTTTGGACACTTCTTGTTCCAGAAATTGAGTTTCGCGTGCATTTTCGTCATTTTTGAAAAACGTGTGGCTCTGTCAGGATCTGAACCCATGACCTTCAGATCCACAAGTGAGCATCTAGCCATGGCAGCTCCATGTGATTGAAGTGTTTACAGTTAAATGTGGGACTGTTCTCATCTGATGGCATCTGCAGTGTTCATACTTGTCATACATCGTTTTCATTTGCACGCATAATTCAATAAGCGTTTTACATTTCTGACTTTTTTGTAAGCAGACTGCTGGTCCCTGGCCTCTCAGGCAGATGTACTCCGACTCTGGAGGAAGTTTCCCTAATTTGGTGACTCTTATGACTTGCTTGTTAGGGAAGCACTCGGTCTATTCCTTTTCCCCAAAAATGCTGTCCCTTGAATCTACACAGAGACATTTTGATGCTTTGACACAGTAATATTTGCTGGACTAATTCACTGCATGCAATCCGAGAAGGCCCTGTGGCTAGACATTTTCTAGTGGCTGTCAGGACCCTGTATAAGGTTGAGAATCTAGACAGAAAAGTAATATAAAGTCCCAGCATTCACACTGCCCACAAATGATACCCAGACTGGGTTTCAGTGCCTTATTTTGTGAACAATTTATTGACCCCCCCCCCCCCCCCCCCCTCAAAACATGCCCTAAAAGGTTATTAATGAGGTATTTGCTGAAACAGAATGTGTTGGTCCAACAGGTGCAGATATCTCAATCTAGCTGTAAAATACAACACAGCGTACCAACCACCCTTTTAAAGACAAGAGCAGAAGAAGGAGTCCTGGGAAGTAAATGTGACCAGCATGATACTAACCACTTACGCACCAACAGTGCAAAACTGTTTCTTTACTATTTTATTCACTGGGGCAGCAGCTTTCTGTGTGAGTCCCAGGGTTCTATTCTGGAGAACAAAGAATAGACCCCCCCCCCCCCCCCCACACACACAAGTAATTAAGGGTGTTTTCTTCACAGTCAGAGTGCACCTGCGAGAGTAGCAGGGAACCAACAGTCTACACACAGATAAACCAGATCTGTTAAATAGATATGCACACAAAACTCAAGTTCTGGTTCGAGACCAAGCCCAGAAGTGGATGAACAACCAGAACCTTCTGCTGGACTTTACAAAATCCCAGGTCTACAGGCTGCCTACCTTCTGGCTTCTAAAGGTATAGCCTGTGATAAATGAGAAGCCCAATAAAAGGAAGCAAAGTTAAAACAGTCATAAGCAAGTGGTGACAATTCCTTGGGTGAGCCCAGTATTAGAGCACCATGTACTGGCTCTGAATTTACAGAAGCCCCTTGGATGGTGGAAGGGGGGGGGGATGCTCATGGTATGCCTAGCATTACATGGCTGCTCTGAACCGTCCTGATCGGTGGAGCCCCTGTGGACAAGGAAACAAAGATGACAGCACAACAGTGGGACTGCTATTTCCTATGAAACTAACCGTGAAGGCTAACCCAGGCAACAAATGCCTGCAGAAGTCAGAACAGCCACCTTCAGTGACAACTCTACAGACAGCAAAAACACTTATAAGAGCTATAGACTTGAGACTTGGTTAAACAGATGGGCGATGGGAGACACTGGAAGAGGGTTTTATAGACATATGGCTGGCCCTGATCCTAATGACAGCATTAACCATCCAACAAAAAGGGACCAGGCCACCAGCTTCACACTTAGAACACAACATACTCCACTCAGTGGACATCTAAACAGAATACAGCCACAACACTTCCCAGAGTGCCAGCTATGTCACTACCCCTGCGAAACTGTTGACCACCATCTCTTTGAGTGCCCAAAACTCAACGAAGCTAGAAGAATGTTACTCCCTCCGAGACCAGACAGGTAGAACACCTTGTACGGAGGAAAAGAACATCTTGTGAAACTCATGCGCCACTGGATCGAAAACAACAACAACAAGTCAAATGTGTTGGCCAAAAGGATCAAATTTTGCAGCCAAGTTGTAAACAGGCATAATAAATTTACATGTCTGGATAAACACTAACAAAAGAGAAGGAGAGGTGCAGTAGCTAGCTTGTCAATCTGGTAGCCGTTTGGTATCTTCAAGCGGACGAGTATCTGGCTACTGCATTAGCAATGCTTCTCTTACCCAGATTGGCCAAGCCTATAAACGGTTATCAGGGAAGATAGCTGATGTTAAATTGACCACATCGCCCATCAGGTGTCAACTGGGCTGTCAAACTAAGGATCTAGACTCAACTTGTCCAATATACCTCAAAGTATACAAATGAGATCTTTACATTTGTTTTTAATGTACTGAATTAAGAGACAACAGATCCAATAGTCTGGATATGTGACAAGACTACCGCCAGACATGGTTCAGAAAGAGTCCTGTCAGATAAAATGGAAGCAGAAATGAAGGTCAACCATGTAACTGATGGATAGAGGGAATATCCAAAGCCATAAATGCCAGCATCTAGGCAGCACATACTAATGCTCGCACCTGATGCCTCTCAAAATAATGTCCTATAAATGTCAGCTGTAGTTAAAAATTAGAGTCAGAGAAGCACTTTTTTGATTACACACTGCTGCTGAGAGAGACTGAGCCAGATGAAATCATATCCTGGGGAAATTAGTTTGATCCTAGTCATATATCTAGTCTCTTACTCTTCACAGCATTCACCAGCTGTAAACTCTGGCAGAAAGTTCTAGTTGTTTATCCTCTTCTGGACTTCAATCTTATTCCATAACTTGAGTTTTGCATGTAAATCTGCTTTACAAATTTTTCTCATCTGTATGTAGAGTGTTGGTTCCTCACCTCTCAGGCAGTTGCACTTTGTTTCTGAAGGAAATACCCTAATAGTTGTCTTTTATGACATGTTTGTTAGGATGATAGTGAGTATTCTTTTTCTGCCAAGAATAGGACCCCAGAACCCACACGGGTGCCATATCCAGTGATACATCACAACCTACTACTCACTTGTCTTCCACAAAGATGGCACCTGTGAGAGCATAAGGAGACGTCGTCTGTGCCAGCTCAATGGCATCATCTAGTTTTGCATCAGGATATGCATAAACCGTAAGGACTGGACCAAAAATTTCCTGCAAAGACAGAAGAAACATCAAACAAAATGAAAAACAATATTTATTCCTCTGTGGCACAGTGGTTATAGAAGCTGTTAAATAATTCTGACACACCAGGGTTTGAAGTGAAATGTGAATAATTTGGCAGTAGACTGCCTTAACCTGATTTCAACAATAGAATGAGCTTGAATAATGCAGACGTCAACAATACATTGCACAATTTACTGCCTGGCATGCTTCATTGTATCTCGTCGGGCACATTACTCAGGGTTCATAGCCAAATTCACCAATCAATTTCAAGGCTTTTCAAGTTCTTAGTTTTTTTTCAAGGTTGTCTCGGTGTAATACTGAAACAATATTTTTGCCTTGTTCAAGGGTGTACCGAGCATACAAGGTACTTCATTTGTGCCACACGTGTGGGTATACCAGCGCAGATATCATCATCATCATCATGTAGCAGGTCCCTTGCAGAATGTCAGCCACTCTTATCACAGTATGCCTGAAAGAAACTCGATCTCTCACCAGCTCTCCCGCCTCATGTACTTTTATACTCAAGGAGTCACTTATATCCTGTGCCTATCTTCGTGTTGGTTGGCCCCTACCCCTCCTTCCTGGTACCAGGCCTTCTGCTATTATTTTTTCCACTCCATTGTGGTGCTTGATATAGTGCTTTTACATTTTTTTTTCAGCCTCGGTGGTAGAGGGAGCAAACTGAAGTCCTGTCTGTTCTGGACCTGGGGGGGAGTCATACAGAGAGGGAGGAAGACATAAGCTGAGGTAGACTGGGAGAGAAGTGTAAAGATGGACAGATGAAGGTAGAGGAAAGAAGGGAAAGAGAGACAGGGGAAGGAGGACAGCGAAAGATAGAGAAAGAGACAAATACAGAAAGAGGGAATGTGGATACTGAAATGGGTAGATGAAGAGAGAAGGAAGAAGAGAAAGAAACAGAGATATGGAAGGAGTAAAAACATGACAAAGAGAGTTGGAGGAACGGAGACAGAGGGAGAGAGAAGGGACAGAGAGAGAGAGATGCAAGCAGAGAGAGATGTAGACATAAAGGAGAGAGAGACGGACAGTATAGAGAGGCAGACAGACAGAGGGAGAGAACCAAAGAGAGAGAAAAAAGGCAGAGCAGGAGAATGGGCGGGAGGTATACAAAGAGGAAGTGATGAAGGGACGCAAACAGACACAAAGCAAAAGAGAGGGAGAGAGAGATTTGAAGAAAGGCAGTGACAAACACAGCTAAAGAGAGAGGGGCAGGAAGGGAGTCAAGATAGAGAGTAAAAAAATATGCCAGAATTGCTAACAAATATAACAAGACATCAAAGAAAAAAACCACCAGCCTCATGCCGAAACCCCACCCATCCCCCAAACACAACACAATTTCAAGTGTACTGGACATAACCACTAGGAAAAGATGGTTACAGGGCAGAACAGCAAATGTAAAAGAACCAGAAAGAAATGGGGGGGGGGGGGAAGGGATGAGAGAGAGGAGTGGGGGGGGGGGGGAAATGAGAGAGAGGAAAGGGTAAGGAAATCTAGAGAAAATGAGACAGGATGGAGATGAGACAAAGAAGAGATGGGACAGGAGGGAGAGCAAGAGAGAACAGTCAGGAAAGGATGGAGAAATAAAGGGGAAGAGTGGAAGATCAAAGGAAAGAGTAAGAACACTGAACGCCAAAAATAGAATTATAAAATCTAAGTGAGGCAACTTTTCTGGTTCCCAACCTCTCCCAATGTGAACGTGGCCAATAAACAACGGAGCTGACCCCTCCAGATAGTTCCATTTCTTACACTCAAGTACACTCAAGGCTGGTGGACCTGGGAGGCAAGGTCATTTTTTTTTTGGGGTGGGGGGAGGGGCGAAAAATAGAGCAGGATACCAACCACACACACAAAAAATAGGTCAGGGCACCAGTGGACTTTGTTTTATTTCTGATTTTCCAATTATAGAAAGGAAAGGGAGAGGGGGTGGTGGAAGGTGATGTAGAATGCTGAGATGGTAAGGGTGAGACAGAGGTGAGAACAGTGAGAGTGAGAGAGAGAGTGAGAGAGAGAGAGAGAGAGAGAGAGAGAGAGAGAGAGAGAGAGAGAGAGAGAGAGAGACAGAGACAGAGACAGAGACGGAGAAATCTTCTTCTTCTTCGCGTTCACCAGCTGTAAACTCTGGCGGAAGGTTCTGGTTGCTCGTCCACTACTGAACTGCAGTCCTGCTCCAGAACCTGAGTGTTGCGTGCGCATCAGTTTTACAGATCTCATTCTCTTGAATACAGACTGTTGGTTCCTTGCCTCTCTGGCAGATGCACTCCGACTTCAAAGGAAGCTCCCCAATTAGTCGACTCTTACGACATGCTTTTGGGGAGGCAGTGGGTCTATTCTTGTTTTCCCCACAATGGGGCCCCGGAACCCACACGGGGGAGAGGGAGAAATAATAAAGATAAAGAAAATAAAGTGTGGACTGAGACAGGGAGAGAAAGAAGGGAGAAAGAAATAAGATTACATATAGAAGGAAGAAGGTAGCAGGAAGAGGTGCACCCCCCCTCCCCCAGGTGTCATCACTGTGGGAGGGGGGGGGGGGGGGGGTGATGGCAAATGTGTTTTTAAAAGTACACATATATTTAATATGAATGTGAGAGTGGGGTGGGGTTGGGGGGGGGTCATGAAATGTTCTGCACTGGGCAACACATAACATTCTACACCAACTGAAGGCATGGAGAAAGCGAGAGAGAGAGAGACGGAGAGAGAGAGGGGGGAGTGATGGGGAGTTGCAAATACAAAAAAGAGAGGAAGGCAGTGACAGACAGGCATAGCGTGAGGAACAGGTAAGACAAAATGTGAGGGGGGCAGGTAGGGAGATGGACAGAGATTAAGGCTGGCTACATCAAAAGACAAAACTGATATCGAAAGAAAATATCCCCCATGTTCATGTTGAACCCCCCCCCCCCCCCCTCCCATAACACAATTTCCTGTGTACTTGACAGTTACTAGGAAAAAGAGTTATGGATGCTAAAAATTCAAACAAGAAATAAAATTAGAAAAGGGGGAGGGGGGACAGGAAATGAGCAAACGAAAAAGTAGCCAAAACTAGCCAAAAAAAAACCTAACTGCCGAAAATCACAGGACTTGCGACGCAAAATTCACAGCTTTTTTAAGTTCAAAATTACGGTTCCTGGTAGGGGACCCAATTTCATGGTAAATTCAAGATTTCCCGATCCACTACCAACCCTTATTACTGCAGAGTTAAATCAAAATTCAGTGATGCCAAAACATTTTATCCTTTTCCTTCCAACGCATAAATCATATTGTCAAGTTACACTGTACATCTCTCCATGTGATTACCATAGTAGCTTCAAATCATGTTCCATATCAATCCTATCCTGAAGTTGATCATAGACAGTTAGGCTATAATCAAACAATTATTTGGAAGCGATGGAGATGTGGTTTCATAGACAAGCGATGAGAATATCCTGGACAAATAAAGAAATGAAAATGTACTGAAAGAAACTGACTCAAGAAGAGAACTGATTGGCCACATCCCAAAAGACACTGGTCATTCTTTGGTCATGTCATGAAAAGACAACTGGAGTACATTGTAATGGCAGGAAAGTTGGAGAAGAAAAAAAAAAGAGACAGAGGAAGATTCTAGAAAGTTTGTCATCATGGCATGGAAAATCATCTGTGTCAGAACTGACTGAAAGTACACGAGACAGAAGGTAGTGGAGGGTAGGTACGACTATCAACACTACACGGACAGACTATGAGGATGAGAAAATTAAAGCAGAAGAGCATCAAGGGGAAACAAAGAGAGAAAATGCTGAACAGTCTGGCATCATGGACTAAAGGAACACATGTATCAGAAATTACTGACACTACCCATAACGGAAGGCTGGAGGCAGACTTAATTACCAACACCATGTGCAATGGAATGTAAGAAGATAAGAAAATGAAATGAACAAGAAAAGGCTGTGTCATATAATCGCAACCAGTTTTCTAGATGTTATCTTCTTCTTCTTCAGCATTCCAAGCCCTTGAGATTTATGCTGCAGATATCACCCACCTCCATTCATATGTGACTAGCCTTCGCTTTTCAGTTAGTGACTTCAAGTGTTTGTAGTCTGCTTTTATCTCTCCACTGTCTTCCTGATCTATCTCAGTCTACTCACATTGTTATCATCATTTTGTATAATGCTACAACTACACATACAAAACTATACCTACCTCCTGCATTAACATGTCTCTGGGGTTGGTCGTCTCTATCACAGTTGGTTGAATAAAATAACCCTTGCTGGAATTTAAAAAAAGCAAACCATGACCTAATGGCAACCTCATAAATGTTACGAATTATTTTTAACCATAACTGTGTCCAAATTAATATGGAAAAACTATGCGGGCTCCATTGTGTCTACTTACATCAAAGTTATGGTACTGTGAATCTGTTTTCCCAGCTCATTGATCATCAATTGTTTATTGCAAGCTAGACTCTTTACTTGCTGCATTGTTTTGCCAGCTAGGTTGATTTATCACCTCAACTACTCTGACTGATAAGCTGTTTTACCTGCTTTACTGTTTTGCTAGTAAACTTTTTTAGTTTCTGTACTGTTTTGCCAGCTAGACTGTTTTTACCTGCTGTACTATTTTATTAGCTATACCATTTTACCTGCTGTACTGTTTTGCCCGCTATACCATTTTACCTGCTGTACTGTATTGTCAGTCAGGCATTTTTACCCACTGTACTGTTTTGCCAGGTAGACTGTTTTACCTGCTGTACTGTTTTACCCACAGTAGTGTATTGCCAGCTAGGCTGTTTTACCTGCTGAACTGTTTTGCTAGGTAGACTGTTTTTATCTGCTGTACTATTTCACTTGTCAGACTGTTTTTACCTGCTGTACTATTTTGCTAGTCGGACTGTTTTACCTATTGTACTGTTTTGCTAGCTATACCATTTTACCTGCTGTACTGTTTTGCCCGCTATACCATTTTACCCACTGTACTGTATTGCCAGTCAGGCCGTTTTACCCACTGTACTGTATTGCCAGTCTGGCCATTTTACCCACTGTACTGTATTGCCAGTCTGGCCATTTTACCCACTGTACTGTTTTGCCAGTCTGGCCATTTTACCCACTGTACTGTATTGCCAGTCTGGCCATTTTACCCACTGTACTGATTGTCTTTCAGGCCATTTTACCCACTGTACTGTTTTGCCAGTCCAGGCGTTTTACCCACTGTTTTACCTGCTTAAATGTTTTATCAGCTGTACCGTTTTGCCAGTTAAGACTGTTCTGTCAGCTAGACTGTTTTATCGACTCTATTGCTCTGACCGCTATAATTCTTTTAATATCCTTTGTTTATTTGATTTGCTGTTTCACCAACAATACTCTATCTGCTGTACCATTGTGTCAGCCTAGTCTTAGCTATTTTGATAATTATCCTTTTTTTTTTTTTAGAGCAGCAGCTCGGCGAATAGTTAAGAACCCCAGGTTCAAATCCTTGTTAAAGTGATAACTTTTCCTGTCAGTGGTCAAATAAAAAAAAAATCCTAACCTGTTAGTGCGTGACAAGTGCACTAGCCATGTGGTCTTAAATCCTCATGACCACGCCCCCTGTCCCGTTCTGCAGTTTCACCAGATAAACTACTTTATACTGCATCATTCAATATACAACTTAATTATACTGTTTCTCTAACTATACTGCTCTTCTATACTGTTTCACCAACTATACTACTCTTGCTATAGTGTTCTGCTACTTTATACTATACCTCATGTTCCGCTGCTCTGTTTCACTACTATACTTTTTCATTAGGTATTCTGCTGTGTTATACTGTTTTGCTGTTTTATACTATACCTCTTGGTCTGCTATACTGTTTCACTACTATAATGTTTCATCAAGTATACTGCTCTGCTTTACTGTTTTGCTGTTTGATACTATACCTCTTATTCTGCTATAGTGTTTCACCACTACACTGTTTCACCAACTATACTACTCTGCTATACTGTTCTGCTGCTTTACACTATACTTCTTGGTTTGCTATACTGTTTAGCTACTATACTGTTTCAATAAATATACTACTCTGCTACACTGTTTCACCAACTATACAACTCTGTTATGCTGTTTCACCAACTATACAATTCTGTTATGCTGTTTCACCAACTATACAACTCTGCTACACTGTTTCACCAACTATACAACTCTGTTATGCTGTTTCACCAACCATACAACTCTGTTATGCTGTTTCACCAACTATACAACTCTGTTATGCTGTTTCACCAACTATACTACTCTGTTATGCTGTTTCACCAACTATACTACTCTGTTATGCTGTTTCACCAACTATACTACTCTGTTATGCTGTTTCACCAACTATACTACTCTGTTCTGCTGTTTCACCAACTATACTACTCTGTTATGCTGTTTCACCAACTATACTACTCTGTTATGCTGTTTCACCAACTATACTACTCTGTTATGCCGTTTCACCAACTATACAGCTCTGTTCTGCTGTTTCATTAACTAAACTGCTCAGCTGCTGTTTTATGCCACACTTCTGTGTCTGCAATACTCTACTACTCCTTTCCTATGGCAAACGTTTTATGGTTGCTTTGATCACTGATAAAGGCTGGTCAAAATGTTTGCCTGCATCTGTGTGTGTTTTTCCTTTCCCTTCACTGAAATTCTGATACTATTTTTTTCTCCATTTCTTCTTCTGTCGTCTCTCTCCCAGTCCAGCACAGGCCCTTAGCCAATTCACACCAAACTATCTTGTCTTTTGTTTCTGCAGACAACTCACCCAATGTCCTCCACACTGTAATCTCTAATTATCTCTCTCTCTCTCTAGTCTCTCCCTCTCTCGTGTGTGTGTGTGTGTGTGGGGGGGGGGGGGGTTTAAGACGTTTGCGATAATAAAGGTACCAGTTAAGAGTCCTGGGAAGTACAGGAAGTCAGGGGATGCTAACAACATCACACATCAAGTGCTGATTGGTCAGAAAAATGTTTCTAGCATTATATGCTCAATGCACCACTGTCTTGAACAGGGTCTGTTACTTTACCTACTGGTAGAAGGATGACAGAAGAAGACCATTTCTTTCCAGTGGCAACATATGAATGTGAGTCAGAGACCACTTCATAATCACAAAAGAAGAAGATGAGAGAGTAATTGTTTTAGTTGTGTTCCATGTTGTTTACCCTCATAAATGGAAAAACGCCTGGCTCACTCACCTGTCATCACATTTCCCACCAGCGATAATTGTCAACTCCGGACTTGACCTGGCATGGTCTATGTAACTTTTGATTCTTAAAAATGCCTGCAACCAAATTTAAAGGTGATGAAAGTTGTTTGTGTTTGGGGCGAACATACACATCCTAACCTGCAGTTAGTTTGTGGACTACACCCTCAGGCTCAAGCTGCCCCCCCCCCCCAAACCACTCTGCACAGTCCTAAACGGTGGTACTATAGACAGTAAAACACTGTTCAACACAATATTCTTACCAAACTATGCTATCAATGTCAAACATGGACACTGTTTTCAGAAGACAGAAGGAAAATAGTCACTACAGAAATGAAATGTTTACGTACTATGCTAGGTGTAACGAGGAAAGATCAAATTAGGAATGATATCAGAAGGAAAGTCGGCATAGAACCAATACTGATCTTTAGCGGTAGACAACAAATCAAATGGTTTGGCCATGTAACAAGATAAGCATCACACAGGGCACCACAGAGAGCAATGTTATTCAGATACAGTGGTAACAGAACCAGAGGTCGACAGCACAGAATACGGGCCACAGAAATATCAGAGACACTGAAAAGTACTTTATACGAAGCAAACGGAAGGATCTGTTCTAGAGATCTCTTCCTGCCCTGACGCTGTGAGGCATTCCAAGAGTAGAGGAAAGGAGAAGAAGAAGATAGACAGTAAAGACTTTTTTTAATTCAGCCTTGGGAAGTTGCAAACTTAGCAAATCCACCATTCTCACATTCCTCTGCATATCTGCAGTGACTTGTTTCGAGAAGCACTGTTCAATACTACTGGTTCTGTTCGTACCGATGCAGCTTTTACAAGGCCTAGATATACCAAATGGTTTTTTTTTTTTTCAAAGTCAGACTGGCCTGATCCTAATGACAGCATTAACCATCTAACAAGAAGGGACCAGGCCACCATCTTCAGACTTAGAACACAACATACTCCACTCAGTGGACATCTAAACAAAATACAGCCACAACACTCCCCAGAGTGCCAGCTATGTAACTACCCCTACGAAACTGTTTAACACCATCTCTTTGAGTGCCCAAAACTCAGCGAGGCTAGAAGAATGCTACTCCTTCCGAGACTAGACAAGTGGAACACCTCGTACGGAGGAAAAGAACATCTTGTGAAAACATGCAAATTCCACTACATGACATTGGGCCAAAGGGCGAAAGCTCATGCGCCGCTGGATTGATAACAACAACAACAAATTTTCCGACAGCCTCAGTGGCAGAGGTCATAGGGTCACAACATAAGTCACAGTTTACATACTTTTTAGTCCCCGCTATTCATGTTCTCAACCTTCATAATGGCACGACCCCTTAATAAAGTTCCTTATGTTGTGGTAACACCCAACCATAAAATTATTTTCATTGCTACTTCATAACTTCAGTGAATATGTTTTCCGATAATCTTAGGTGACCCACGTAAAAGGGTCATTCGAACCCCCAAAGGGTCATGACCAACAGGTCGAGAACTGCATGTTTAAAGGATTTTTCCCAAGAATTTCAGTGGTTTCAGGGCAATTGGGGGGTGGGGGGAGCCTCCTTGAGGTAAAAGGGTTAAGATGCAAGACATAGAAATATTTTTTTTTTTTTCATTTACTTTTTACTTCAATAAGCAAAAAACATTGAGGGGTTTATTTTTTCTTTAAAAAGTAAAAGCTAATTAAGGATTCTTTAAAATGTTAAAGATTTGCAACAATAGTTAACCAAAAGTAAAAAGACCTTGCATGAAATCGTTAGAGATTATAGAACCAAGAGGGAGTTAGAAAGATTATGCCCATTTCTAACTTGATTCATAAACTGGGGGATACTGATAATGTGGAACTAGTAAGATGAGTTGAGTCAAGCTTTGAACTAACATCAAAGCACTTAGGAAATTCCCGTAAGCTTTCTGTCACATCTCCAGCAGATTGCAAAGAGTTCCAATGCTGATGGCACAAGCAGTAGTTCAATTAAATATCTGTCTTGCCTTTCCTGATCAGTGTCAGCCAGATCTTCTGGTGCATCATTCTCTCCACACTGTAATGATCTATTTGCACGCCCATACTGTTCGCTTTCTCCCAAAGTAAGGCCACATCTAGCCTGTCATGTATCTTTTCACCTCATTTGAAAATTGGACCTGTTAAAGGGCAGCTAAAAATCTGCTAGAAGTGAACCCTATAATCTGAACAGAGACGGATATTTTGAGACTAAACCCTAGAAAGACATCAAGAACCTCAAAACTGACAGCTTTCTTTGAAGATATTAATGTTGATATCTGAAGGTGTAGAAACGAAGAAGAACAAGGAGTAGGATGAGAAGAAGATGAAGATAAAAGATAAAGAAGGAAAAGCTGGAAGCAGGGGTGGGGGGAGAATGAGATGAAGGAGGAGGATGTTAAGGAAGTAAAAAAGAGGAGAAGAAGGATGACATGGAAGACAGAGGAAATGGAGAAGGAAAAAGAAGAGAAGAAAACAAAAGCAGAGAGAAGGAGAAAGAAAGGATTCAAGAGGCAATGTTCTAGTGGTGATCACAAAGCTTACAACCATAAATTATAATTTACAAAACAGACGTACATACGTGTGTCTGTGTGGTTGTGATGTGTGTGGTTTTGTGAGTGTGTGTAGTTTTGTGTGTGTGTTTGGGTGGTTGTGTATGTGGAGATGGGTAGATCCAGTTCCTTTTAATCTTTCTCATTAATAACCAACCTTTTCATCAATAACTGCCGTAACAAAAGATTCTCTATCCAATGGAGAGCCCATTTTCACTTCCTTTAAAACACCAAGCAGCCCTGACTTAATCCTCGGCCATAACGACTGTGGAACATACATCCTGGAACACGCTGAGCACTTCTGCCCATTGTACTCAAAAGCAGAACGAATGGTCCCATTCACTACAGACTCCACATGAGCAGACGGATGAACAAAGTGCATGTTTTTTCCTCCACATTCTGTAAGGAAATGATCAAATTCTGTTATCAGGGTTTCAAAATTATTATCTTTGCATTTAAAATGTGTGGCAGAGGTGTGAAATTGAAACAACACAAGAAACAAGACATAAATGTTATTTGCATAGTCTCAGTCTTTCTGTTACGTATGTGCCCATACAGAATCTGGGTTATGTGGGTAAAGATTCGACATCAAAGCTTTCACGATACGCCCATATTAGCTCCTTCCCCCTCCTCAACAGCCAGCGACGAGTCTTAATACTAATGGTAGCCACTGTCATCTGGTTAATTAGTTGTCTTGCCTTTTTCTCGAGTCTGAAGTGGAAGCCCAGAGCCTGCAGACACATCCCGTTGCATTATTCTCTCCAGTTGGGGGTTCTCAGTATTGTCCATTTTACTTGTTCCCTCATCCCATATGTGACAGAACACCTCTGTCTTGTGATACTGCAAACAGAATGGGTTGTCCTAGTCACTGTGCTTACAGCAGCCTCCTGTCTGTTGTAACTGTCTGTATATACCACTTATTAGGGCGGTGTAGAACAAGGGAATTTTGAGCATGGGGATTTAGGGTTATTTGGCTAGTCCGGTCACCAGAAACTGCAGATCTAGATTATTATTTCCGTCCCTGTCAGAAAAAATACCCCCATCAATATTTTTACAGGATTCAAACCCTGGTCTCTCACGTGATAGCCCAACATTTTAACTGCATTACCAGCCCCTGGCATCCTGTCTAGCACAGTTAAAGTGGTGACCAGTTCTGAAAACTGTTTAGCTGCCAACCGCTTTTATCTATTATCAGCCATGACTTCATCTTCTTCTTGTCTCTACTCCTGGAATGCCTCATGTTATCAGGGCAGAAAAAGATCTCCGGAATGGGCACTTCTGTTCACTTTGTATAAAGTACTTTTCATCGTCACTGATATTTCTGCGGTCCATCTTCTGCGTGGTCGACCTCTGGATCTGTTATCGATGTATCTGTATAACAATGCTCTCTCTGGTGCCGTGTCTGATGCCAATCTTGTTACATGGCCAAACCACCTGATTTGTTGTCTAATTATAATGACTTCATGTAACCCTTATATAAAGAGAGGAGTGAAGGAGGGAGCTAAGCAAGTAATGAACCCCTGCCCAGGCGTGTGAACCGCAGACCAGAGGATGATAGGAATCCCTTACATCTTCTGCTGGTAGTGTTTATCCATATTTTAAGCATCCTTTAATTTAAAAAAAAAAAAAAAAAGACATGCAACAAGAGAGAAGAAAGGTTAGGCGTGAAATGTTATCACAATCGACGTCACTGCACACTGGGCATTCCCATGCACGCTCAGTCCTCTGATGCAGCAGCCGCTCCAAGGTACTTCTACTAATTGTTCCCATGAGAAGCTAGTTACATGATCTCCTATCTCGGGCTCGAAGACGGCATAGATGTGCTTCACCATGCCTTACGCTCATGTCTCGCAATCATGTTAGTGTCAGAGATACCTCATTATCCACTAGTCCAGTCCTTACAGCGTTGACAATATCTGCTCTGTCCATGCTTCTTCCCACATGCACTGTTGCCTTGCTTGCCAGCTGGTCCGATAAAATGGTTAACAGAGCTACAATGCTAGAGAGTATCCAACGAGGGGATCTGGCTGACACTCATCGCTCACGAAAAAAGTGAGGTAGGCATAGACACAAACTGGTGGTGGTGCCATCAGCACTGGAACTCTTCGCTGGCTGCTGAAGATGGTGACGGAGGGTTTATGGGAATGTCCCAAGTGCCATTATGTCATTTCTAAGCTCAACTCAGTTCAGCTTTCTAATTCCACATTTGTTAGTCTACCTAGTAGGAGCCCCTAATCCTCTACCCCTTCAGAAATTATTTGGTGATACCTGAGACAGAACTCTGTGGACAGACATGATTGCCAATATCGATAGCATGTAATATGAGAAGAAAAACATGGAAAAGGTCAAATCCAGAATATCAGCCCCCCCCCCCCCCCCCCCCCCCCCATCACTAAATACAAGTTGTTGCAGTAACAAGTTTTCCCAAGCATTTATAAATTCACAAAAAACTATACCTCCAATGATCCTTGGGTAATTTCTGTAAGTGTCCAGGTTTTCAGCAATCTGTTTCCAAAGTTTCTTAAATGTTCTGAAAGCAAAACATACCAAATGTGTATTCCTTTATCATTTGATCATATTCAATTTCAAAAGAAGATTAAAACTGGAATAGTAAATCGAGTTCCTTCTTCTTACACAACTGGCTCAATTTTCTTCTTTTTTATTTCTTGTTTTTTTTGTTTTTTTTTTTGCTTTTTTACTGTACACATCTTTTATTTATGTTCCCAGTTGTTAATCATGTGTTTTTGTGTATTATAAACTAAAAACTACAATTAACAAACGGAATAAAGGTTTAAAACACACACAAAAAGAAGAAAAAAACTAGTAAATTACATTCAGAAATTCGTGCTTGTGCAAAACAGAGGGAATTAAACAGCATGACAGAATTACTAATGTCAATCAAGAGGGAAGAAAAGATGCTGGCATTAGAACAATTAAACACACAGGTTTCGGGAAGACAATTAAATGGGGTGAAATATTTCAACTAAATTAATAGACATAATACTCATTTATAAGCCATACTGAAGGGACAAGTCAAAAGCAGGTGAGCAAAAGATAAACAGCAATACAAGTGGAAGGATGAAATTAAAAGATGGAAAAACAGCAGCTTGAGAGAGTGTACAGCCAGTTCAGAAGACAGAGAGTGTTTGAGATCTATTACAGTGTGCAGATGGGAATATTCTGATTTTTATAAGTTCTAAGGCTGTATTCAGAACCAGACAGAAATCTTCTCATCGGACAACCTTGAACTTACACAACACTTCCTGTAAAGTTCAACCCTGCAAAGTCAGGAGAGGTCAAGCAAGCATCCCCAAACACAGGTCCATCTGCGGGCACAAAGTTGATGACCCCAGCTGGAAGGCCAGCTTCTCTGTAAATCTTGAACACTGTATAATTTGACAGTACTGAGGTGTCTGATGGCTTCCACAGTGAAACATTTCCCTATATAATACAAATAAGAAAATTTTTAATAATTGTATGCTAAAATTATTACTCTTTCTTCTTCCCAATGGTGTAATAGCACAGTTCATCTGCAGACTGTAATGAGGAGAGCAAACATGTGCCATTTCAACAGCACTGCCCTTTTCTTCCAACCAGCTTCCTCTTCTTCTTCACACTCACCGGCTGTAAACTCCATCAGACCTAGAGTTTTAAATGCACATCCATTTCACAGATCTGACTTATGTGTATGCAGACTGTTGGTTCCTTGCCTCTGACTTTGAAGGATACCACTAATTAGTCAACTTTTATGACATGTTTGTTAGGAAACCAGTGAGTCTATACCCCCCCCCCCAAACCCCAATGGGGTCATGAAACCTACATCGGGGATCATGGAACCCAGTAATAATCAGAAATGGTCTTGGTTTTAAATCCTCACACACACAGATTTCAATACCTAGGGTTTCCATGTCAATCAACCCAAAAAAACACCAAAACTGATACCAGGAAGTGTCCTGGGAAGTAAAGACGGTCAGCATGATGCACGCCATATGACATACTGAGTGTCAGTTAGTCTATAAAAATAGGTCCAGCACCATATGCCTAATCTCACAAGCCTCTATTTGTGCACGGGTTTCCTCATTTTTGGGGTAGCAAATTTGACCTAAGCCTTTTGATTCTGAAGTGCTGGTGGTTTGTGGAATGTGCTGGGTGCCTTTATTTTATCTTCTTATCTGAGAAGACTAGGTACCCAATTCACTACCCGACTTGCATCTGACTGCTGAACCATAACCTAATTACATCCTAATTTACCTCTCAATACATGTAAAGTTCAAGTTCCAGTTTTGCACAACCTGCTAGTTTCTAAGCTCTGCATCACAGTCCCTATGTAATCAGGATGGCAGGTAAGAAGTCTTGCTTACCCTGCTGGTTTCTGAGCTCGGAGAGGGGAAGGAAAACTCTGCAGCTCTGTCTCCATGTAATAAAGATGGTACTTCACCACCAAGTCATGAAGATATATTGGTTAAATATTGTTGTTGGCAGAAAAGTATATCTGCCAACTTCACACCAATAGCCATGTCCCAAAAAACTTGCATGTTAATGCATCAGATTTAAGAAGACAGTCATTAACCCCTTCAAGTGAGTTAAATGGACTTATCCGTCATGGTCAACCATGCCAGCACCGTGAGTAAGACTTTCGACAGTCAACACCTAGTGGATATAGCTAGTTACATTCTTGCATTACTGAAAGAATGAAGATGCAAGGACAGAGCTTTTATTGTCAGATCTATAGGGAACAGACTAGCAACTGATACATCTCTGCTGCCAGCAAGATTACATGACCTGGGAGTGAAGCCTGGTGAAGCACATCAGTGCTGTCTTTGGGGTCAAGAAAGAAGATACTGTAAACAACTTCTCATGGAGACAATCAGTAAAGGTATCTTGGGTGGCTGCTGCATCGGAGGACGAAGCAGCCATGAGAATACTCAATGTGCAGTGATGTCAATTGTGTTAACATAAAAAAACATGCTTGCACTGCTGTCTGCTACAGTGTTTTTCCACTTGGCAGAAGTCTTCAGTGGCCATCAATGTTTCACTCTTTGGTCTGTGGGCTGCAAGCAGTCTACTGTGACATGGTGCCTATATAAACATGGTGCCTGCCTCAACATGGTGCCTGCATCAACATGCTGCCTGTCTCAACATGGTGCCTGTCTCAACACGGTGCCTGTCTCAACATGGTGCTTGTCTCAACATGGTGCCTGCCTCAACATGGTGCCTGCCTCAACATGGTGCCTGCATCAACATGGTGCTTGTCTCAACATGGTGCCTGTCTCAACATGGTGCCTGCCTCAACATGGTGCCTGTCTCAACATGGTGCCTGCCTCAACATGGTGCCTGCATCAACATGCTGCCTGTCTCAACATGGTGCCTGTCTCAACACGGTGCCTGTCTCAACATGGTGCTTGCCTCAACAATCCCCACCATGTTCTTGACACCAGTGGCATCCAAACATTATTTATTCATAACTACTTCTTTTCTTACAACTTATTTGAAATTATCCAAAGCAGAAAAGGAAGATTTTTATATAAATTTTGCATGTGGGCCGACATGACAACACATGGAATAAATATTTTCATAAGAACTGTCTTCTTCAGAAAATTTTGCATGAGCCAGAACATAAACAGTAACTTGCAAAACAGTTCCTTCCAAAGAAAAAGTAATAAATTCAGATTATAATGTACTACAGTTAACATTTTCAGAAACACAGTAAATTTTACAAAAGTACTGAACAAACAGAAAATTCATACAATTCTAGACAATACTCTTCTTCTTCGTTGCGTTCACCAACTGTAAACTCTGGTGGAAAGTTCTAGTTCGTCCACTTCTGGACTTTAGTCTTATCCCAGAACTTGAGTTTTGCATGCGCATCCGTTTTACAGATCTGGTTTATCTGTAAGCAGACTGCTGGTTCATTGCCTATCAGGCAGATGCATTCCGACTTCGAAGGATACACCCCTAATTAGTATACTTTTATGCATGATTATTAGAGAAGCAGTGTCTATTCTTATTGTTCAAAATATTGGGCCCCGGAACCCATATGGGGAACTCAAGAACTGATCACATACATTTAAACTGCCCATTAAGAAGTTAACTAACAAAATCGACGAAGGAAAAATGAAAGGATTGTAAAAATGCTCAATAAGTATGAATTGCTGAAAGGATATGAGATCATAAAATATTTGTAAAGACAAGTCTGTTAACTGTGGAAAGTAATACAGTAACTGTAGGAAATTTTAAAAATGAATAAATAAAAAATAAATAAAAACATTAGGGACTACACAGCACAAGGGTTTTATCACATGTGGTCTCTCTCTCCTCTCTCTCTCTCTCTCTGCATAGTGGCTTTTAGCCCACCAAAACAGTTGTAAAAAGCAACAACAAAATGTAGCAAGAGTGACAGCCTAGACGCATCCCCAAAATACCTGTACCTGAGAACTGAAGGAGTCTGCGAAAACCAGAGGGCAGAACACTCGAGAACCGAAGGACAGAGTCCTTATGATCCAAAGAAAAGTCCTGGAGAACCAAAGGACAGAGACATCAAGAAATGACTACTGACTGACAGTCTTTGAAAATCAAATGACAGAATCCTTGAGAACTGAAGGACAGAGTCCTTGGGATCAACAACAACAAAACTCCTTGAGAACCAAAGGACTGTCTTCAAGAACTGGAGTAGGTGTGAGGCAAATCGTCCAATCACTTCCAAGGAGACCAAGGACATTAGGAAGGTTGTGTGTGACTCTGTCTTTGGGTTTGTGAGTGCAGGTGCTTTGGAGATATTGGAGGGGGGGGGGGGGGGAGAAATAGGAGGAGGGGTAGGGGTGTCATCACTGGAGCTGCAAGGGCAGGGGGTGCACATCACTGAAGCTGTGGTGGGTCCACCGGGGGAGGAGGGGGGCGTGTCCATCATTGGAGCTGCAGAGTTTTAATTTTTTGCTTTCTGCGCCACTATTGGCGGGCTAAGGACTATTTTATTACAGGAAATACTGCAAGACACACTGTAAAAAACTCAGTGCAATAAGGTTGGTCTTCTCTATTTTAAATATTTTTTACTGCCACTGTCAAATGTTACAATCAATAAACTGTAAACTGATGCCCTCCGAAAAAATATTTTCAAACAGGCAACACAGGACACAGTAAACAATCTGGCATTCAAATAAAAAATTTAAAAATCTGACACCATAAACACCCAACCCGATTTGACCTAAACAAAGCTGGGTAGAGCATGATGTAATCCCACACTAGATACTGCCATGAGTCATGAGACTGGCTACCTTAATGTGCTTACAATTTTTGCTCCAACATTTACATCATCACAGCTCCTTTTACTGATTACTTCCCTTTACGATAAAGTTAAGAAAAATAGCAAAACCAATCAAACCAAATAATTCTTTGATTTGAATATCAAAAATGATAGCCAAAACTTTGCCTTCTACCTCTCCATACAGCATAAGCCCTCGACCAACTCAGAGTAAACAATCTTTTCTGTAAACTAGTTCATGACTAGTTGGATTTTGCAACTACATGATGATGATGACACTCTAGCAGTTACAATCCGCAACAGATATTCAATTTAATACTAATGATCATGAGGATTAAAACATTTACACCAACATCACAGGTCCTTTTATTGATTACTTCCCTTAACGATAAGATTAAGTAAAATAGCAAAAACAATCAAACCAAATAATCCTTGATTTGAATGTCAAAAATTATAGCCAAAATTCGCCTTCTACCTCTCCATACAGCATAAGCCCTCGACCAACTCAGAGCAAACAATTTTTTCTGTAAACTAGTTCATGACTGGATGGATTTTGCAGCTACATGATGATGACAATGACACTCTAGCAGTTACAATCCGCAAAAGATATTCAGTAACAGAAATTAAATTTAATACTAATGATCATGAGGGGGAAAATGTATATAGGATTTCTTTTCTTTTGTAAAGTTTTTATTAGTGCTTTTTTCATGAAGTTAACAAATAAGAACAGCCATCTAGCATCGCTGCTTGCTGAAAGAGGATTGGGGGAGAAAGAGAAACAAAAAAGCTGGGAATAAAGAAAAGCTGGGGATATAGCAGCTACGTAAACATGTTACCTGCTTTATTTCTTCATTTGTGGAGAAAATACAAGAGCAAAACTATCACCTGAAACACCATTTATGAAAAGAATGAACAAGCAGGCAAAATTACATGTGGTAAATGTTCATGGAAAGAATCCAACAATCAAGTGCTGTCTCCACAATGAAGACTGGCTGCAATTGGGTCTAACATACTGTTTCTCTAGGTCTAACATACTGTTTTTCTAGGTCTAACATACTGTTTCTCTAGGTCTAACATACTGTTTCTCTAGGTCTAACATACTGTTTCTCTAGGTCTAACATACTGTTTCTCTAGGTCTAACATACTGTTTCTCTAGGTCTAACATACTGTTTCTCTAGGTCTAACATACTGTTTCTCTAGGTCTAACATACTGTTTCTCTAGGTCTAACATACTGTTTCTCTAGGTCTAACATACTGTTTGTTTCTCTCCCTGGTTGTACAGTCACATATTACTGTTAGTTCATCTCTTGACATTATTCTCCTGGGACTTGCATCACTGTCTACCTCTTGTTTGCCTATATTCATCGTCTCCTTCCAGTTTTTTTAGTATTATATTTCAAAATCTAGCTTAAATATTTCATGTGTATCTTTTATTTCTTCTATAACCCCCTTTTCATGTTAAGAATACCTACAGCTGAACATAGTATGTGTTTTTTTTTTTTTTTCAACAATTACTTACAGGAAAAGCCATCTTATCTCTTTCATTATCAGAAACTGGCCAGAGTTTTTAGATATATGCAGTGCTTTTTTTTTTTAAATAGAAAAACAAGTGGGTAAATTTTTTTTAATTTCATTTTTATTTTACTCCTATTGGATTGCTAATAATAAATACTGACACCCAGTGACTCAATTTTTCAGATGTGAATCCAACATCAACAAATCCAAGATACCATATTCAACCCTACATAGTAGTTATGAAGTAACCTGCTGTCCTATGGGTTGGGTTTCTTTACTCCTTCTTCAGTGCTCCAAGCCTAAGGGTTCATTGCTGCAAATACCACCCACCTCCATTCATCTCTGTGCCAGGATTTCTCACCAGTTGATAACTGTAAATCTGCCGGTACATGATATCTCCACTCTCTTCTTGGTTTGCCTCATAATCAACTCTCATTTAACTCATTTGAGTACACAGTGTTTTTTTTTCTTCTTCTCTGTTATCTGCCATCCTCTTTATCTGCCCCAAACATTTGAGTCTATTAGCCCTTATGATGCCAGCAATCAATAGCGATTAAAACAAGATCTGAATTTCTTTACTAGTGCTGCTTACAGTTTTAGAGCTGTTTTTAACTTAAAAACATTAGTTAATATTTTAAACAGTAAGATCAAGCAGAGTTATTTCTACTGTTAAAAACAAAAAGCTTGGGTGTACAAAATGCACCCTGAAAAACAAACCTATATCTATGTAAAAACACCAAAGTTCACGAGAAGATTATACTCATGCATCAATAAAACATTTTAAAACAACTTAGAAATTCAAAACGACTACTTGCACATATGAATAAAAGTTTCTTCAAGTAAGTTCACTTACCATCATTGCTGGTGCCACTGGCAAATGTCCACCAATGGCGGTAAAGTTGAACGGACAAATGGCTGCCCAAAAGCCCTGTGAAATAAAAATGGTTGTCATGTCTAATTTATTCAGTAAGCAGATCTTCTTCTTTTCCCTTTTCCTTCTTTTTCTCCTTCCACATTTATCTGAAGATGTAAATGTGCTGTGCCCGTTTACAACATGGCACCTTTGACATTTGCACCTTTTGGCCGATACATCCAACTTCTGCAGGCATTTGCTGCTCAGGTTAGCCTTCCCCAGAACATTTTGTTTAATATGCCATGTGCTATAGATAATGTGAGAAAGAGAGAGGGAGGGGGGGGGGAATGGGGAGAGAGAGGCAACACTCGCAAAAGTCATGGGAAAATCAGTATCATCATGTTTCAGGTCTTCAGTATTTGATGTGTTTTGTTTGGAAATAATGTTTCCCTGTTGTTGTGGACCTTCACATCTCCATGGCAAAGTGGTCAAGACATTTGCCAGTACGCTCTTCAGGTCATAGGTTTATTATTTCACTGACATGTTCTTTAGTTCACAAATGCAGTTTTTAATGGACCCCTGGGGATCATCACTGGAGATATGGAATTTATGCTTTGTGCGATATTTGGTGGGCAGCCTGCCATTTTGGGAAGAGAGACCAAACCACATAAAACCTAGTGCAATAAGCTGATCCTCTAAAGTGTTAAACAGAATAACATGTGTCCGTGTCGCATACAAGAGGTTAATTCAACCTCTTGTTGGCTAGCAGACTGAATTATTCTGGCATAAAATTATGTTAGTCTAAAACGTGTGTCACTTTCTTCCTCTTCTTCGCGCATTTACTGGTTGTAAACTCCAGCGGAAAGTTCTGGTTGTTCGTCTGCTTCAGAACTTTGATCTTGATCCATAACTTGAGTTTTGCCTACACAAAAGTTTTACAGATCTGCCTTATTTATATGCAGACTGCTAGTTTCTTGCCTCTCAGGCATATGCACTCCAACTTTGAACAAAACACTCCTAGTTAGTAGACTCTTATAGCAGTCCTGTTAGGGGGGCAGTGGGTCTATTCTTTTGTCCCCAAAATGAGGCCTTATAAGAGAAGCGTGTTACCAACATGAAAAGTGTGGAAAGCTCTGTCATGAATCATAACATATGAAATGGGGTACGGGGTGTCCAGTCTGCTACCTCACTGCCTTTCCAGAACATTCTGGTCATTACTTGGTACCTATTTTCTTATGAGGCAGGATCTACCTCAGAGCTGTACTGATAAAATCGTATTGGAAACCTGCCCAAAATGGCAGATAGCTCGCTGACCACTGATGCACTGACAAGTTGTTTGTTTCCAGCTAAAGTTTAAAGTCAAAAGGGTCGACTTTACTGCACCGGATTTGATCCTATATGGCTCAGTCTCTCTCCACAGAGCAGCTAGCCACCTGCTGAGAGTGCCGCACAGAGCACAAACTCCACAGTTTTGATAACGATCCCCAGAGGTCTCCTCTGTAAAAATTGCACTTATGAACTGAAAGGCGCAGCCGTGAAACGAGCCCATGACCTTCAAAACGCGAGGCAAACAGCTTGACCACTTTGCTACAGAGACCCCCTCTCTGTCCTTAATTAAACTGTGTTTCCAGCTAGGTTTTGCTGATGCAGATTCTCCATTTATGGACCAGAAGTCCACAGAAGAACATATATAGAGGAAAATACATTTTGAGGAAAATACAACATCTAATTACTGTGAGAAGTGAAAACTTACTATGGCTAAAAGCATGAGCCTGCCTATCCACCACACTGATCCCTCCATTACTTCAAGGGGGAGACAAATCAGAGAGGACAAATGTTTTTTACTGGCAACTACAGTTATTTCAATAGTTGGGGACAAATTCTGCCCCATATTCCATAATTATGGGTTCCCCTGTGTGAGTGACAGGCCTGGCTGATGATACAATTTTTTAGGTGTATCTACTGGCCATGCACTGAAGTATGTGTGTTCTCGCTGCAAGGCACCATTGCCGTTTGGAAGTGACACATTTGATTGTTTGTGGGTAACCATAACTGTAGATGTTTGCCTGCGGATCGAAAGGTCGCAGGCTCAAACACACATGAAGGCGGATTTTTTCATGTATGATCTTGGCTTTCAGGTGATCCGATAGGTACCAGGTATCCTAGGAAGTAAAAACGGCACCCACTGAGGGCCAATTTGTCAATAAAAGTAAAAGTCTGGCCTCATATGCCCGATATGCCCATGGCAGGTACAGAGACCATTTTTTTCCTTACTGTAATGATACCTTTTTTTTAAAAATTATCTAGAGTCATGTTCTTCAACTTGTGGTCCACGGGTAGTGCCAGTCCAAAAAAAAAAATTCTCACCAGTCTGCTAAAACTGTTCGCCCAACCATTTAGCAACTATAGTGGAGATCAAAATGATAAACTGAATGAGTGTTATTGCAGTGATTTGTCTCTCAAAAAAACCTCCAGCCACGGATATGAGATTTTCTAAGCTCTAAGCAGCTGATGTCACTTTACAATTGTAATATTATAACATCACGTTTTTTAAAAGAAAATGCCATCTACATTTTACTGAAATATTTCTTCTATTTTCTTTGTCTGCAGATGTAAAACCGGTTGCAAAAAATGGTGTGGAAAAACAAACAAACACTGGTCTAGGCCAGTGTTTATCAAACTTTTTTCGTCGCGGCACCCTTGTCGGCACACCTACCTTTAAGGCGGTTTAAATATTTAAGGAAAAGAAGAATAAAACTGTAAATTTAAGGTTCAGTTGTCTTAAATGCCATGTCAGCGTAAGCTCAGTATGCAATGCAGCCTTGTGAATAGCATTGTTTTCTGAATACACTTACATCCAAGACTCTTATTGGCTTTCTTTATGGTATTTCTTTTTTAAACTGCTGTCTTCGCTGATCTCAAGCAGATTTTGAAAATAATTGGTTATCGCCACAGCACCCCTGGCATACACTTGCAGCATCCTTGGATGCCGAGACATCCAGCTTAAGAACCGCTGGTCCAGACTATCCTTTTATCTCTACTTCTGTCTTCAGCATCTACGAGCGCTTATTAACAGATATCAATTTGTTTATCACACAGGGTTCATAGCCAAATTTACCAATCAATTTCAAGGCTTTTCAAGGTCTTTTTCAAGGTCTCCTTAGTTTTTTTCAAGGTTGTCTCGGTGTAATACTAATACAAGATTTTTGCCTTGTTCAAGGGTGTACTGAGCACACAAGGTACTTCATTTGTGCCACATGTGTTGGTATACCAGCACAGATATCATCATCATGTAGCATTTCCTTTATCCTGACAAAAAAAACTCGGTCTCTCACCAGCTCTCCCGCCTCATGTACTTTTTTATACTCAAGGAGTCACTTATATCCTGTGTCCATCTTCGTGTTGGTCGGCCCCTGAGCTTGATATAGTGTTTGAAATTTTTTTTAGGGCTTGGTGGTAGAGGGCAGCAAACTGAAGTCCTGTCTGTTCTGGACCTGGTACCTGAGAGGGTTAGGGGAGAGAGAGAGAGTCATGAAGAGAGAGGAAGACACATGCTGAGGTAGGCTGGGAGAGACAGTGTAAAGATGGACAGATGAAGGTAGAGAAAAGAAGGAAAAGAAGTCTGGGGAAGGAGGAAAAAATGAGAGGGAGGGATGGAGACATGATGAGGAAAAGTGGGGAAGGGACAGCGAAAGACAGAGAGGGAGACAAATACAGAAAGAGGGAATGCAGATACAGAGATGGGCAGATGAAAAGAGAAGGAAAAAGGGAACGAAACAGAGATATGGAAGGAGGAAAATATGACAAAGAGTTGAAAGAAGGGAGACAGAGGGAGAGAGAACGGACAGGGTGAGAAGCAGATGCAAGCAGAGAGAGATGTAGACATAAAGGGACAGCACAGAGAGGCAAGCAGACAGAGGGAGAGAACCAAAGAAAGAGAAAAAAGGCAGAGCAGGAGAATGGGAGGGAGGTATACAAAGAGAAAGTGATGAAGGGAGGCAAACAGACATAAAGCAAGAGAGAGAGAGAAAGGTGGGTAAGGAAGGCAGTGACAAACACAGATTAAGAGAGGGGGGAAGGAAGGGAGACAAGATACCTCAAAGAAAAAAAACAGCCACCCACTCCCCCCCCACCCCACCCCACCCCCCCCCCCCCCCCCCACACAATTTCAAGTGTAGTGGACACAACCACTAGGAAAAGATAGTTATGGGGCAAAAAAATATGTAGATGAACCAGGTAAAAAAAAATGGGGGGGGGGGGAGAGAATGAGAGAGGGGAGCGGGTAAGGAAATCTAGAGAAAATGAAAAGACAGGATGGAGAGGAGACAAAGAAGAGATGGGACAGGAGAAAGGGCAAGGAAAGGAAGAGAGGAAGAATGGAGAGAGAAAGGAGAATAGTAGAAGATCAAAGGAAAGAGAAGGGGTGAGAGAAGAAAGGTAAGACACGGTTGTGGGGGTGGGGGGTGTAAGAACAATGAGTGCCCAAAATAGAATTAGGAAATCTCTAAGTGAGGCCACTTTTCCGGTTCCTACCCTCTCCCAATGTGAATGTGGCCGTGGTCCAAAAACAACAGTGCTAACACCTACTGCCCCTTGCTTGTCCTATCTGTGTGTGACAACAATAATTCAATTTCTTACACTTAAGGCTGGTGACCTGAGAGCCAAGGTCATTTTATGAAGAAAAAAAAAGTCCAGGGGATCCCAACCCACCACTGGTGGAAAATAGAGAAATTTACCCACACACATAAATAGGTCAGACACATAAATAGGTCAGGGCAGCAGTGGACTTCATTTTATTTCTGGTTTTCCAATTACAGAAAGGAGGGGAGAGAGGAGGTGGTGGAAAGTGGTGTAGAAGGCTGAGGTGGTAAGGGTGAGACAGAGGAGGTGAGAGAATAAAGTTTAAGAAAATAAAGTGGGAATGAGACAGGGAGAGAAAGAAGGGAGTAAGAAATAAGATGAGATATAGAGGGAAGAAGGTAGCAGGAAGGGGTGCACTCCCTCCCCTAGGTGTCATCAATGTGGGAGGAGAAAAGGGGGGGGGGGAAGGTGACGGCAAATGTGTTTTTAAAAGTACACATATATTTAATGTGTGGGAGGGGGGAATGATGGACATGAAATGTTCTGCACTAGGCAACACATAACCTTATACACCAACTGAAGGTATGGAGAAAGAAAGAAAGAGAGAGAGAGAAAGAGAGGGAGGGAGGGAGTGAGGGAGAGCGGCAAATACAAAGAGAGAGAGGAAAGCAGTGACACAGACAGTCAGAGAGTGAGGAACAGGTAGGACAAAAATGTGAGGGGGCGGGAAGGGAGATGGACAGAGATTAAGGCCGCTAGGAAAACAAACACATCAAAAGAAAATATCCACCATGTTCCCACAGAATGCCCCCCCCCCCCCCCCAATACAACTTCCTGTGTACTTGAGTTGCTAGGAAGAGTTATGGAGCCGCACATTTACTAAACATTTAAACAAGAAATAAAATAGGAAAAAGGGGGAGGGGGACAGGAAATGAGAGAGTAAAAGAAAAGATAGAGAGAAAGAGAAGAAGATGAAGATCAGAAGGGAGGGTTAGAGACAATGCAGGAGACGGGAAGGAAGGAGCAATAGGTAGAAGAGTGAAAGAGGGAGGGAAGAGAGAGAGAGAGAGGGGTGAGACAACAGAAGAGGGAATCTTGGGGAATTACAATACTGATCGCCCTGGGAAATCCAGCTGCAGTCACTTTGCTTAGCCCCAATGCCATCTCTAATTAATAGAGAAGGCCGTGCTTAGCCCCCACCACGGCGACTCTATTTATAAATACAACTGCACCGAGCCCCACCATCTCCCAATGTAATCCTTTCTAGAAACCACGGCCATAAACGATTTAAACTGTTCATTCTGCCGGACTCGCTAGAAACAAAGGCACACACACACGCACGAGACGGAATCTGCTACTTCCCGTCCCATGCCACACCGCTGCTGTCTGCATGTTTTCATGATCAGCAACAAAGCCCGCCCTCCCCTGGCCTTTAACAAGCCATTTCGGCTGAAAATAGCCAATAATCAGCTGCCCTCACACCTGAAACGACCATACAACGAAAGTAGCCAAAAACTAGCCAAATGGCCAAAAAAAGCCAAATGGCTCCCTCAAAATTGCCTGTGCTGAAAAACACAGGATTTCTGACGATTTCATTGCCGCGGTCAAAATTCACGGGTTTTTAAGGTCGGAATGTCTTTTATAAGCTAAAAATCCCGGTTCAAGGTCAACGAAAAAAATCCCGGTAATTTCCCGATTTCCCGGTCCACTACGAACCCTGATCACACTAGATGCCTTCTGCCTTACCTCAAGACCTCTATAGCTAAGACTGTTGACTGTAACACTTGGTGTGGGACTTAATGGCTGGTAAGACGTTGTATTCTGTAAAGAGAAATATAAAGTTCATCATCATCGTGTAGCAGTTTCTTTACAGAACGTTGCTATCAACTAGGTATGCTGGACAGCCTCTCAATCCCCTTGTAAACATTCCTGCCTTTCTTGATATCTTGTGTCAACTGTCATGCTGGTGGTCAACCCCAGCCTTTATTTTCCGGAACCATCTTCACCTTTATCTTCAAAAGTGCTTATTCAAAACTTAATTTTGCTGGGACGAAATAGCAAGATGAGTGAAAGTGGGTCAAGCACATGCCCATACCTTATTTGAGGTCAAGCTACGTAAGACATAACTTCTCCATGGGATAGTCAGAAGAGGGACCTTGAGGCAAATGCTGCATCAGAGCACACATGGGAATGTCCAATCTGTGGTGAGGCTGGCTGCGGTAACTTCTTTTTCATCATTAAGATAACGGTTGTCATGTTCTGTTGAAGTTTACAGGTAGGCTAGGCAATCCTTACTATGCAGCCCAACACATCCAATTTCAGCAAACCACTTAATTCTTCTTCTTACAGTCTATGCTGTCTGTTACTGGTAGTCATGCCTATACACAACCTTGTCTCGTTTACTTGTAATCACCTCTGACACAGATGATTCTTAATGCCATGATGTCAAACTGTCCAGCATCTTTTCTCTCAGTATCCCTCCATCTCTCTTCCCCTCCACCTTTCCTACTGTCACGATGTACTCCAGTTTCTGCTTCTCGTCACATGACCAAAGAATGTAAATTATGTATATCAAGATAGGATTTATATAACTTTTAAGAATTCTCTTTCTTGTCTCAACCAACAAAGAAAGATTAAAGAAAATATTCTTCATTTTGTAAAATTCTGCATTTGCTTGAGCTATTCTACATTTAACTTCTTTAATACATCTACCATCTAATGTTATCAGGGTATCCAAGTACTTAACTAAACATTTGAACTTGCTTGAGGTTTGTCCCATTTACTTTAATGTTGTGCATTTTCTCTAACTAGTCACCTTTTATGACATGCCTGTTGCAGGGTAGTGGATTTATTCTTTTTTCACTTCAAATGAGGCCTCCAAACTCACACGCAAAACTCATCAGAAGAGGTCATCATCATCATCACATGCCCTGCTGACTGGCGTAAGCGTTCATGCCTCTCTACAGATCTCAGTCCCTTGTCTTATGGATTAGTTCCACCGATGATGTCCCTCATTGCCACCGTCACAATCCATATGTCATCATCTCTCTCTCTCAGCCTGACTCTCCCTCTTCGACTGTTGATCTTCCCAGTTGTCACAAAATTCTCAAACACCTTTTCCCTCATCACATGACCAAAAAACAGGGCTTGTCTTTTCCTTATTCTTCTTCTTCTTCTTCTGCCTTACTAGCCCCTAATGAAGCAAAGGCCCTCAACCAACTCATGCCAAGTCGTCCCATTTTTCGCTATCGCATGTAGATCTCCCCATGTCCTCCCCATCTTTCTAACTTCATTCTCCAGCTTCCTTCTCCATGTGTTTTTTGGCCTTTCTTTATTCCTATGCCCCTGTGGGTTCCAGTGCAAAGACATTCTAGTTATATTGTTCTCCAGTTTTCTCAATGTGTGTCCTATCCAAAGCCAGCGTCTTTGCTTCATCTCTTGGTCCACTAGAGCTTGCTTAGTTCTCTCCCAGAGCTCTACATTAGTGATTCTATCATACCATTTCATTCCCTTTTTTCTGTGCAAGCACCAGTTAATAAATGTCTGGAGTTTATTAGTAATTGCCTTAGTTGTTCTTTATGTTTCCGCTCCATACAAAAGTACTGACTTGACATTAGAATTAAAAATTTAAAGTATAGTAATTTTTTTAAATTTCTTTTGACCTCCACAAATTTTCTAATGCTATGAAAGCTCCTCTTGCCTTTTGTATTCTTATTTTAATATCTCTATCAGTTCCCTCATCTTTATCTACATTAATGCCCAAATAGGTGTAAACTTCTCTTTTTGACTTATCCATGGTTGGTTGGTTTTTGTGGCTATGGTTTTTACAGGATGAGGTAGCCAACCTCAAGCCCAACTCTAGTCACCTCTTACGACTTACCTGGTAGGGTGCAGTGTCACTATTCTTTGCTTCTCATGAGGGCCTCAGTGACACACAGGCACTTTTCCTTATAGCTGGATATATTTTAGATTTTTTCATTAGCTTCTTTCAAGCAATCCTCATTATATACTTTGGCAGTCCAAGGAAGTCTTAAAATTCGTCGGAGGAACCACATCTTCGTCGCCACCAAGTTCTTTCTAATTTGAGCATTCACATTCCATGATTCAATACCATACAGCAATATAGGTTCTACATAACATTTTAGTACTCTCTTTCAGACATCCAAAGGGAGGAACCTGATGCACGAGATGTTCTTCATTGAGAAGAGGTACCTCGAGATAAAAGCTGGATAGGAGGGCTTTAGAATGTTCTTCATTCAGAAGAGGTACCTCGAGATAAAAGCTGGATAGGAGGACTTTAGAATGTTCTTTATTGAGAAGAGGTACCTCGAGATAAAAGCTGGATAGGAGAACTTTAGAATGTTCTTCATTTAGAAGAGGTACCTCGAGATAAAAGCTGGATAGGAGGACTTTAGAATGTTCTTCATTCAGAAGAGGTACCTCGAGATAAAAGCTGGATAGGAGGGCTTTAGAATGTTCTTCATTCAGAAGAGGTACCTCGAGATAAAAGCTGGATAGGAGGGCTTTAGAATGTTCTTCATTTAGAAGAGGTACCTCGAGATAAAAGCTGGATAGGAGGACTTTAGAATGTTCTTCATTCAGAAGAGGTACCTCGAGATAAAAGCTGGATAGGAGGGCTTTAGAATGTTCTTCATTCAGAAGAGGTACCTCGAGATAAAAGCTGGATAGGAGGAATTAGAATGTTCTTCATTGAGAAGAGGTACCTCGAGATAAAACTGGATAGGAGGACTTTAGAATGCCCAGTGTGTAAATGCTAAATATGATAACACAACTTCTTCTCCTGCATTTGCCTTAAAAGGGCAGTTAGCACACTGTGTTGTGGTTATGTCCTCCACTTGTGAGTTGCAATTTTTCTTTATTTTGATGCCCCACCCTGGCTGTTGCCGGGGGCCTTATATAACTTAACGGTTGAACAGGGTTTCCGGGACCTCTCCACAGGTGATCCTCATCCGCATGGTGGCACTTTGTGTCACCAGGTGTTTATCGCTCTGTGTGATGTCCTGGTGGGGTAAAACTTACTTACTTACTGGGTTGTTGATCACAACTAGGCTGCGATATCTGCGCCTTGTGTCCCAACACATATGACTTCAACCAACTTCTTTAATGTCATAAAGGCAATAAGTAACAGGCAACAGTGGGTCTATAATTTACTTCCTCAAAGCGAGGTTGCAAAAACCAGCCAGGGATGATAACATAACAATATAGCATCACATAATATAATACATAAGAAATTTGTAAAAAGACATACCTGGGCAAACATAGCATCAAATCTCAGGAAATCTATCAACTCTGCAGCAGCATCAACTTCTGCCTGGTACACATTCTTTGCCTGAGAAGCAAACATATTTGCATGGTTTAAAAAAAGTGGCACTACTGTACTGCTGGGGAGCTGCAGTAGTGTAGCAGCTAGATGCTTGTTTGCTGGCAAGAAGTTTTAGGGTTCACATCTGCATCCCCCTGTGTGGGTTTCAAAGGCTTTGTAGGGAAAGGGGGAAAGAAACGACCCACCCCCCCCCCCCCCCACCCAAACAAATATGTCCCAAGATTCGACTAATTAGGAATGTTTCCTTCAAAATCACAGTGCCTCTGCCTGAGAAGCAAGGAACCCACAGTCTGCATACAAATAAGCCAGATATGTAAAAGTATGTGCATCCAAAACTGGAACAAGACTATAAAGTCCAGAACTTTCTGCCAGTCTACACCCAATCAACATAAATAGAAAGAAATCTGCATTGAGAAGACTGTTTTTTTTTAACTGACCTTACCGCCTAGCTTGACCCTGCACAAAATGGATACCCGGTAATGTCCTGGGAAGTAAAAGTGGCCGTGGTGTGTTGATTGGTATATAAAATATAGGTCTTGCATCATATGCCCAATGCACTAAAGACGTGAACAGGGTTTTTCTACTTAATTCATTGCTGACAAACCAATATATGCATCAACATCTTCAGCAGCTAGGTAAGAATGTGTCCTCTAATATACGTAGAGCTGATCTTCAGAATACAAGTGGACATGGATAAGAGTTCTTCAGGATGCAAGGTCAGGCCCGCCAATTGTATTTGTGCCCTCTGAATATGAGGTGAAAACAAGGATGTGAGCAGGAGAGACGAGAGAGATAAGGCCCAAAACCAGGGAGGGTAAAAAATGATATGTACTGTACTAGTGATCATGAAACTATTCCCTCTGCCTAAACTTCTCTAGCTATCACTGCCTGACCTCCAAAGGACATTTGTGTATGCTTCTTTATGTAAATTACAAGTTTATTTAAATAATGTTTCAGTACTTTGATTTTAAACATTTATTATTATAAGCAATGCAGTTAAACATGATAAACACCGGTCACAAGAAACTAATAGGGTTATTTTTTTAGGAGGACTGGAATGAATTAAAATTATTTACATTAATTTTAATGGGGAAAATAGATTCAGGATATGAGTTATTCATCATATGAGCTCAGTCATGATGGAACTGATTATATACGTATCTTGAATTTCTACTTTATGTGGGAATCATGAGTGGTTTGTGTGCTGCCGAGTCAGTGACTCAGGTTCAAACCCCGGAAGTTAACAGAACATTTTCCCACTCGTACATCTCTATTTAAAAAATAGTTCCGTTTCCAATATGGTGCACTTAGGTCATAAGTTCCTTGATCAAGAAAACCCTTCTACAGTTGTGCGTGACCGAAGAGGCACAAAACACAATGAATCTAGAGGAGACTACCCCCGACAATGTTATTTTTAGTTATTAAATTCATATCCTGGCCTGCACAAGCACATATAGAGCCAATGGAATTTAACTAAGCATTCTGAGAACAGGTCACTGCAGATAGGCCAATATATCAGATCTGTACCCAGAAGTGCCTACATTTAGTCTTCTCATGGTAACAGTGTTAACTCTAATAAGGCTCAACAAAAAAATACCTACCAAAGAAAACAAATAAAAGAACGCATAGAAAACAGACATTTTAAGGGGCAAATGTATTCACTAAGTTAGTTATCTTTCCCATATCACCTCAAAGCCTAAAACTACCCACCTGTCCAAGCATGGTTGTAGCAATCACACTCATTCGATATTTCTTTGAAATCAAGTCGGCGGCACGCAGGAAGATGTCGCAACGTTCTTTCAGGGGGCGCTTTTCCCATTCTGTGCGAGCTTTTAAACTTGTTGCGATGGCCTTCTTGATGATCTCCTGGTGACAAATCCCACATATGTATATACAGAGAGAGATCAAGTGAAATATGGACAGAGAGAGAAAGATGTGAAGAAAGAGAAACATGGACACTGAGATAAAGTGAGAGACACTGAGACTGAAAATGAGAGGACACAAAGAGAGAGGGCAGAGAGTAACAGACACTGTGTGGTGGGGGAGGGTTAAGTGGGGGAGGGGTAAGTGTGGGATATGGAGAGCGGGAGAAAGAAAGTGAACAGATTAGGAAACCGGTGAGAGACAAAGATGGGTACGGATAATGAAATACTCACCGGTGTTGCGTAATAAAAAGTCGCAACAACTCTTTGATGATCAAATGGCTATAAAATAAAAATAAACAAACAAGCAAATTATTAAATCAAGGCTTCCCTGTTGTAAATTTCAAGAAGACACAGACTGTCTGGTTGTATTTCATCAGGTGCATACAGTAACAACTGAATATAATGAAGCAAATAAATTATCCTCTCATTGCAATAGGAGATCAACAATCTAGTTTTTGTGTCTTCTCTGCTCAAACATGTATTATCCATGTTTATGCCAAAATCACCTGCTTAATGGCAGATTTGGAGGGGGGAGGGGATGATCTTGGCTCCCAGGTCAAGCCAAATTAAAATGAGTACGAGATAATGTTTTGGGAAGTAAACGCGGCTGGTGTGATGTAAAGCACATCATCTTATCTTCTTCTTCTTCCTCTTTGCGTTCACCAGCTGTAAACTCCTGCGGAAAGTTCTGGTTGTTTGTCCACTTATGGACTGCAGTCCTTTTCCAGAATCTGAGTGTTGCGTGTGCATCCGTTTTACAGATCTGACTCACTTGCATGCAGACTGCTGGCTCCTTGTCTCTCAGGCAGATGCACTCCGACTTCGAAGAAAGCTCACAATTAGTCAACTCCAATGACATGGTTTGGGGAGGCAGTGGGTCTATTCTTGTTTTCCCTATAATAGGGCCCTGGAACCCACACAGGAAGTAAACCACATAACCCATTAGATTTTGACTGACCTAGAAAAATCTGAGTCCGAAATCATATACCTGATGTGATACTGGTATAAAGAGTGATCTTACTCATCATCATCATCAATGTCCTTTTGTGCTATTACTATATGTCTCCTAGGTCTCACAGTCTTTTCTTCCACTCCATTCAATCCTAAGCAATTGATTCAATATCACAAATGTAATTCAGTCCAACATCTTTGGCCTCTCTCCTCAACGTTTGTTTTAGGGTTTCATCCGTAACCATTAAACATGCACACTGTGCACCAAACACACCATCTGACTTTAGAGCAATGGCGTCCTTACCTGCAAGTTTCTGCAGCAAAACTGTTACACAGTAGGGGGCTGGCCCCATGCCCAGTCCTCCTCCTTCCACATCTGGGTTTTCACTTTACTACTGCATGTGAAAATATTTAATAACCGGGAAGGCTAACCTAGTTAACAAATGCCCACAGAATTAGGATGTTTTGGCCGAAAGGTGCAAATATTGCAGCCATGCTGTAAACGAACACAACGCAATTACATCTTCGGATGAATGCAGAAGAAGAAGAAGAAAATATTTAATAAAAGGCTATTTTTAATTGGGTCAAAATACATTTTAGGCTTTCAAGCTGTAAATTTTAATAAAGAAAACATAAAAATTTTACAATTTTTTGCTTGTCAATTTTGTTTTATTTCTTTAGATGTACAGTACAGAGATTAATTTCAAGAAGCTAACAAATGAAGGGCACCAAAGAAGAAGATGGACTAATGACACTAAAGACATAGTACATTCACATCATCATCATTTGCCATGTCGATAAGTGCAGGCAGTCATGTTTCGCCATCTCACATGATCACCATAATCACAGATCAATACTCTTGTCTTGCCTCCATTCATTTGGCCAAGCCATCCAGGTATTTATTCACAAGGTATGACAACAGCCAAACAAATGAAGGGCACGCAAGAAAAATATGGACTGATGACAATGAAGCTAAGTAGGTCATGAGTTGATTTTCAAACTCAATTCCTCATTTTTACAAGAGCAGGTGTTTCTCAGGTCAATAGGGGTCATCACAGGAACTAATGAGTTTGTGTGACTTTCTCAATGGTTGATCAGCCACTCTGTGGAGAGCCTGAGCCATATGAGATAAAAACTCAGTGCAATAAGTTGATCCTCCTGCCTTGAAATACCTTTAAAAAAGAAACTGTGTTGTCTCCTTTGCAGAACTTCCCTTTCATCATGTTCACCTTAGCGGTTCTCAACCTGCGGGTCGCAACCTTTTTTTTTTGAGTCGAATGACCCTTTCACAAGGGGCACCTAAGACTATCGAAAAAAATATATTCATTAAAGCTATCAAGGAAAATAATTGTTTGGGGGTTGCCACAACATGAGGGAACTGTATAAAAGGGTTGCAGCATTTGGAAGGTTGAGAGCCACTGGTCTACCTTAAAGAAACTGCGCCTCTCGACAGCTCTCCTGCACTTTCATAACCAAGTAGTCACTTATATCCTGTGCCGATCTTCATGCTGGTCGCCCCTGTCCTTCTTTCTTGGTACCATGCCTTCTGCTATCAAATTTTTTTTTATAGTTCAGTTTTGGAAACACTTTTGGCTGCAAAATATACACTGTAAATTATGCGAATATTATGAGATGATGCCCACTTCTCTTCCACATGTGAGTCTCATACTGCTGTCTAAAAGCCATGAGAACAGGCTTTTTTCTAAACCGCCCACTGAATCGAACCCTGGTAAACACCGAAGATTCTACTGTGAAGCTATGTCACTAACCTCTAAGCCACAAACCTGCATAAATATGAGGGGAAGTCAATAAGTAAGTCACAAATGGTCGTTTAAAAAAAAAACTAAAGGCAATAACAATTTGAAAAACATTTATTTTTACACACACTGATCTTTATTTTACAACATAACTTCCACCAACATTGATGCACATGTCCCATAGTTTTATCAGATCTCCCAAAACTGCTGCATAGAACTGCGTGCTCTGTTTTCTAAACCACATTTGTAATCTCAACAGAATGACCAGATCACATTTAATCAACAATCATAGAGCATCCTTGAGAATTTTTTTTTAAAACCCAGCCATGCACCACTTTATGGAATAAACATTTGTCAGCATAAACAGTTGGCATTTTCTTATGAATGTCCTTTGCAGGCAGCCCTTTTGCCCACAAAAAAAACCTTTGTTCTTTGAGGGTACACTCCATAAGTACAGTCGCCATTTGGTTTTTGTGTTGTAAATACCATGCAACACCTAGTCCCCCCCCCCCCCCCTAACGAACAGAGAGATAAAGTTTTATGTTGCTGTCACCCAATGATACCTTTAGAAACCACCAACTACCTTTTCCTGCCAACCCATAACCATTTGTGACTTGCTTATTGACTTTTCCTCGTACCTTTAAACTCCCTTAAATGTAAATAATCGTGTTCACACAGCCACAATTTCAGTCACTTACCGCCACTTGTTTTCGGACATTTGGGGTTCGTATCTCCTCGTCTCCAATAACAATAGGCACATCGACTGTCTTTCCTTCATACTCCTTCAGAACTTGTTCTAGCTCTGCAGCCTCCTTGCTTCCCTTGGCAAAGTCTAGCAATGGCTCATTGACGGCAACATAGGACGACATGATTCTTGTAAATGAGTTGGTAGTACTAGGTCTGGTGAAAAAGCTACAATATGAAGATAAAAATTTTGGGTGCTAATGGAAAAGTTATATCAGAGGCAGAATTCGGCTATCCTCCGAATAACGGGCACAAAAGATGGCGACCAAAAACAGGGCCTTAGTCACGTGTCAATTGCGCACTTCCGGCGACTTAATTTGTTGTTTTCCTGCGACTACCACCACCGTCGAGAGTATCCCCCCGCCGCTATTCGCAATGGCGGTAGTCGCCGGAAAACCCCAAATTAAGTCGGCGGAAGTGCACAATTGACACGTGACTGAGGCTCTGTTAGGGTGTTTTTGCGGCCGCGACCTTTTGTGCTGGTTATTCGGAGGATAGCCCAGAATTCAAAAACAACAAATACTATCTTGGATAAATATTTCAGTTCCGTTGCATATTCTTTTTTTTTCCTCCCAAAATAAGGTCCTTGATTCCACACTGGGAACACAAATTATTAGACCAGTAAGTATCTTTCTGTAGTTTACATATATCATGTTCAACCCCTAGCTTACATCTTAAATATATAGTTTAATTACAGGATACTTACTGCTTGTTCTAAAATAATGTTAGTTAATATTTATACTATACTTGTATTTTATGACCATTCAATCAGGTACCATCTTCAAAGTTAAGTTTCATCACAAATTGATCTCCAACATGCTCAGTAGATGTAGATGTACAATATACGAGGCTGTTTAATTTCATTTTTGTTTTCCATATCATCCCCCCACTTGTTTTTGTATCACTGATTGCCTCTTGCCTGCAAATAATTGCAATTGTTTTAAACTTTTTTCCTTTCAGTATCTCAGTATGGTTTTTATAAAAGTAAAAGTATTATTCATTACTATTGTGAACGTTATAAACTGTGATATATGCTTACTGATATTAATATTCATTCAGTGTTTAGTATTTAGTACTAAATATAATTAAAGAATAATAATTATAATAATAATGGATAGATAGAATGATGAATTTAATATTGGATTTGATTTAGAATTTAGATCATCATCATCAGAAGCAATGTTTGTTTTTCCCTTCACTGAAGGCTTTAGTGGGTACTCATAAATTTATGTAACTGAAAGTGGACGTATATTTCCTCCACTTGTTCAGAAAGCTGTAACATATGATGCACAGGTAAACAGTCAACGACAATTCAAATGACAGCTGATGATACTGATACTGATACCTTTCTGAAGTTAAAGTTATTTTAACAAGTCTCCGCAGCATGCCCGCCATTGATGGATAAACACGACTCCTCGTCACTTGGAAATTTCGCTTCAGGACTCTAGAACAACGTCAGAACTTATCAGCATGACAAGATAATTCTCATTGAGAGAATATCTTCTGCTAACTTAACACACTTGGCGTGTTCGTGCCGATGCATTTGATTACACACGTGTATAAGCCACCTCCATGGTGGGATACGAAACTAAAAGATAGGCTCAATTTGTTCCAGAGTTGGGGATTCTCAGACTGGATGCTGTAGACCTTGATGGGTTCTTCTTATCGTTCACGTGGCGTGAACTCCTGCGGAAAGTCCTGGTTGTTCATCCACTTCTAGACTTTTGGTATTATTCTAGGGTTCCAGTTTTGTTTGTACATCCGTTTTACAGATCCAGAGGAAGAGGAGAAGAAGAAGGCGGAGGAGAGCACCTACCCAAAACCTTCGGTCTCCTAAACATTTATCCCTGCATTTCATCCTAATTTTCCAAGGGCAGGAGAAATTCAAGTTTTCCCTGTCTCGTGACTTCCTCTGGTGTTATACGAGAAGGGAGACGTGGAAATGGGGGGGGGGTGGGAGAGGGAGAGAGAGAGAGAGAGAGAGAGAGAGAGAGAGAGAGAGAGAGAGAAACATATTTGTGAACTTGATAGAGCCGTGATTTGTGTATTTCGTTAGAAAGGATTCACTTTTTGTGCCTTACTCTTATGTTTGTGTAGCTCTGTGATAATCAACCTGCTGAGAAATAGGCTAGATAAATATGTATGGAAATACACAGTGAATAATAATAGAAACTTCACAGTTGTGGCGTGCACAGCAGGAGTCTGCCGATCTTCAGTAGGTGTCACCCTTTCAACAACTGTTTCGGCCCGTTTGCCCTCCTAGACAATCTCGGGGAGGAGGGGCGACCTGGATCATGGCGCAAAAGGCCTCGGACTTTTCCTTCTGCACTAAGCGGACAAGATGTTACGGTACTGAGATTATGGTGACAAATCGTCACTGTGGTAGCAAACTATAAGTACCCACCTGCACGACAAATGGACGGTTGGTTCATCGGGCTGACTTTGACAGTTGGCAGTAGCAGGGACAGACGTTTATCAAACAACTTTGGTTTTAGGGATTTATTCTTTTTTTTTTTTTTTTACTAAGGACTTAGACTGGTCTACGCACGTCTATCCTCCACGTCGTTACGTCGCGTCTATAACCACTCAAAGCTTTTTCAGCAACTTCACCCAGTTGCTTTAGTGCCCATTTACGCCCGTTTTCTTCGCAAGCCCAGCTGCTTTAGTGCATTGTATGTGGAGGTAAGATTAGCTCTCCTGCGCCTACCTCAATGACGTAGAGTTTTCCCGCGTAAACTTCAATGCTTCTCAGATTGACTACCAAATCGCTGTATTTCTTGAGCAGGTACATGTGATTGTCTTCGATTCGCGGCTCGTACAGTACGCTCAGGTCAGTTAGGACGAGCTGGCATTCTGCAGTAGACTGCAATACCATATCTGGTCTCAGGTGAATCTTTCGGACTGATTCGGGGTTTTTCTAAAAACCATACAGGTCAACAGCTAGTTGCCAGTCCCTCGCACAGTCGAGTACGGATGGAGCGTATGCGACTTTACTGGGCGAACCTTAAGAAATCTGCCCAGTCTTGAAGAAGCCCTTGAAAGGGACTTTAGGACGGTCCTCGCATTGGCCTTCATCCTAGGGTTGTCCACAGTAATGGCCAACCAGGACCGTCTGTAGCAGTGATGAAGAGGAAAATGGGTATGACATAATTACTGATGCTGTTCAGATGGACGTGAACAAGTTTTTTTTTTTTTTTTTTCAGATAAACCCAAATGACTGTGAATTATTGCTTTCGGAAGGTTCAGAGGAGTCACTGGTGCACATTTCTGGATTTGTCTCAAATAAGCTGAACAAAACAATTAGTTGTGCTGCCTGCAAGACTTTACTGCACATGGATAGGCCATTATCATATGATGTTGACTCGGGTGCAATGTCTACAGACTACATACATCTGCTTGACCGTGGAGGCTTGAAATAACCTTCAAAGTTTGTAAATTTATTGACTTTGTAGCATATGCAGCTACGCAGAAGCTTATATTAGCTGAGTTGGAAACAGCATTTATAGCCTGCAAACATCACAAAAAATTGTTTTATGCATATTGTTTCATGCAGTTTACACACTTTTTTCAATGATGAAATTTGTGGCGTCTGTGCTGAGGTTTGTTCTAAAGTAAACATTGCTTCCAAAGAGCTGCCATCTCTGGCAAATGTTTTTATGAACAACTACAAAAACATTATTTAAAAAAAACGTTGCATCCTTGCTGGATAAATCATCTAAGAAAAGAAAACTAAATTCACTAAGTGTTAGATTTACATGGATTATGGACTACCATTTGGACAGCTTCATCGTAAGTAGTTTCTGTTTTGCTTTCTGTTTCTATGTCATATTGTGAATACATATATCCAGGGCTGTTCAACTAAGTCAGTTTAAGTTTACTCAGGGGTCAACATTGTGAAATTAGGGATCGTTGTGGGCCAGCGGTCCGAGTCCCAGCATTATTCATTACAACCAGCAGTGATCCACGGGCCACTCGCTAGGCCTCAACGTGACAGATTTGGTCCGGGGGCTTACTGTTGAATAGCCGTGAGCTTACTGCTATAAGTTTTGTCGGCTAGTACTCAGGGAAACGGCCTGGAACACACCGACAAAACAGTACTGTTACGGTGAAAAGGGAACACATTGTTAGCCACCGGAGGTGACCTCACGTCAAGCTGATGACGTCAGCAGCTAGTCCTGTACTACCGATGGTCCTGGGCCAACTCTTTTACTACCTTACTATGGCGGCATGTGTATCGTCCCTGACCTAAGGCTTTTCTGCATGCGGACAATGCATGCTCAGGTTGTGTGTTCACGTCAATAATATTTAAATTTACTGCCGGAAAATATTTTGTTAAACACAAATATATGTAAATTCCTAAGCTCTTTCACATTTGCAGGTTCGCAAGCTGTTGATAATAGCACGAGATATAACATATACAATATATGGACATTGCTTAGTGCAACAAAGCCTGGCATGACACCACATCTAGTTCGAGAATGGATGTGGAGGCAGTCACTGCAGCATTTGCTCGCTTGAGAATCAGCTGTACAGACATGTCATAATTGTAACCGGCCCATGGAAACCGGTGTGTTCCGTGAAGAGTGGCAAGCATCGCTTTAGAGGTCCCGGTATTTAGTGCCTTTTGGAAATTCTCCCCAGGATATGCCGGTGTATTAGGAAATAAACTGGTAGAAAGACTGACTGTTCTGCATAACATGGTTGTGAATTGATGCGTGACAAGCTAGATGTTGTAGAGGTCTTTTCGGAGCAAGTGAACAGTGCAGAAGCATAGATGGATCATCATATCTGAAAAGAATGGCACTGTGAGGAGTAACCAGGGGATCTGGTCGATGAGCAGCACTCAACGGAAAGGTGAGACGGATATACATTCGGACTGCTATTGGTACCACTGGAGGCTGAACTCTGCGTTTGCTGCCGAAGATGAGAACGGAGCGCTTATGGAAATGTCTGAGCGCCGTGATGTCGATTCCTAATTAAACATTAACACTAAACGAGATAACACTTGCAGGGGCGCACATAATGAAACCCTGGGCGTGGGGAAAGGTCAGCCCCTTTATTAAACTTTCTGGGAGCGGGAGCTCAAGCGGCGTAGCCTTTATTAAGTAAGCAATAATAATAATGATGTTATTATTGTCATTAGGCGTCGGCGTCTGTGGTTCAGGCGTTGCGAACGATCTATGTAATGCCGGGGTGCCGGGTTCGATCCCAGCTGCGGACGGTTTGTCTTGCGTTTGTTTCGACAGTGGTACCTAAAGCTGACCGCTCGGAAGCAGTGGCAAACTACTGAACGCAATATTTGCATTAAAAAACCACAACAGCCAAAAAATGCTGGAGTTGGTTCTCCAACGTACTTTAAAGGATACGCAACTAATTTTTTGTTAATATTATCATTATTGCTATTATCATTACGTAGTAATGGGTAAATAAATATAATAATCATTTCAAATAATAATCATCATAAGGTGCCTTGCCGACTGGCGTGGGCGATCTTGCCTCTCCACAAATTGCGATCTCCTGCGGCATGTATCAGTTCGTGTGTAGTCACATTTCCATGCCATGCACACAAGACTGCTAAGAATCTTCTCTAGTTGTCTTCCTCTATACCTCCTTCCACAGATCTTTCCAGTGATCACAATATGTTTCATTTTCCCTTTTCTCATAAAACGGCTGAAAAATGATGACTGTCTCCTTCTGATGTCTGGGATAAGTTGTCTTCGGGCTCCCGCCTTTGTCGCTCCTTTTGGCTGTCCAATGTATTTTAAGCGTTCTTCTGTAAAACCATTTATCTGAGGCCTCAAGCAGTTGTTTGGCCTGGCTGTCGATTGTCCAGGACTCACAGCCATATGTTGAAATCATCATCATCATCATCATAAACCGCTTCTGCCGTTAAGCGACGTGGGGATGAATAGTTTGCGATCCAGAGCACGATGGCTGCCACTGGCTATTGTCGTGTCGTGAAGGCGTAGAGTGTCTTTGATTTTGTCGATCTATGTTTTCCTCGACCGTCCTCTTGCTCTTTTAGATGATCTTCTGAGATGTAATGCTTGTGATGGTATTTGATCCTGCTGCATTCTACCGAGATGGCCAAACCACTTGATCTGCTGTTTCTCGATGAATCTAGTACAAGGTGTCGTTTTAACTATTTGTCTGATAGTATCATTATTAACTCGATCTCGGATGGTAATGTTAACAAAATACTTAAGAAAGAACGTCTATACACGTTTAGGGGAGCTGCCTAAACCCCTTGTACATTTTCTGGGGGGGGGGGTGGGGGAGGGTAAGCGCACCCTACCCCAAACTTTTAGTAGTTAGGGGGGGGGGTGGGGTGTTCCCGAGTGTCCCCCAGCTTTCAGCACCTATGTCTCTGTGTGTTTATATCTGGCAGCTGGCGTAACCTAAACATGTTAAAAAAGTTATGTTAGCTTATCTCTGATGCACAAGTCAGTCATGCGATAATAACGGCTCAATGTGTTGTGTGAGTTGATGCGCGCGCGTGCGTACGTGAGTGGTGTTTAGGTGCGTCTGTAGGTTTATGTGTGAGAGAGGCAAGGTCAGTTCCAGTAACACCGGCCCAGCATCCCGACGACCCGAAAGTGAAGCAGCTGATCTTTGGGTGTTGGCATTTGATTGTTAACGCTTAACCGTCGGGTATCCATGTCAAGGAATGGTAAGTTCTACATCTTTTTTGGTTTGCGTTTGTGTTCCTGCTATTCTACCTCGCAAGTTAGCTTAGTTCGGGCACGTTATGGGACATGATTCCATTGCAAAGACTGTGCTTCAAGAAACATTAGAGGGTAGTCGAAGAAGAGGAGGGCAAAGAAGAACCTGGAATGACAACATCAAGAAATGGACAGGACTGAATTATCCCAAACTTATTCATCAAGCGGAAGACAGAGAAAGATGGCGGGCTTTATGTGCTAATGCTTCCATCAATACACCTTCACGTCCCTAACGGGTAAAAGGTTATGTTATGTTATTCTGCTATAGACAGGGTCTGATTTATACTTGATAGGATCCTAAGCTATGTGAAAACCTGAGGCCCCTACAGTTTTAAATTATACCAGTTAATCTCAGAACAACTAGGGGGCTGCGTGGTCTCGCTGCATGAAGTCCGCCTCGAGTGCTAGAGGTGAGGGCTGGGGTAAGTAAGACCGGACGCCCGTGTGTAGTGTTGCACACGTTAACAAAAAATCCCTTGGCAGTTGAAAAGAGAAAAGAGTAGCTAAACGGCGCTGCCCGGGCAAAAATTTGGAGTTAAAAAATCTACCTAATGTATTTTCAGGATCCTTCCGGTGCAACGGAGTTCGTGCACTTGGCTGAGATTCTTCTGATTCAGCCCTGAGTTGGAAGAAGAACAGAGCAATTATGGGTCACGCCCGTGTGCCATGATGTTGATCCGTTGAATAAATATTGCGTAACATAACATCTCAGAAAACTGTTTGACATATATGTAAGTTAATGAAAAGCGGACGTTGGCGCATGGCGAAGTGGTCAAACAATTTGCCTTGCGCTCTGAAGGTCGTAGTTCGTTTCACGGCTGCCCCATTCAGTTCACGGGCCCAATTTTATGGAGATCCCTGGCGGTCATCGCCGGAGCTACGGAGCTCGTGCTCTTTGTGACGCTCTCGGTAGGGAGCTAGCCATTCTGCGGAGAGAGACCGAGCCAAATGAGATAAAAACCCAGTGTAATAAAGTCGACCCTCTCGACTTTAAATTCAGGCTGATTATTTTTATTCAATTTAAATAGGCTGCAACAAGCCGGAATAGGTATAAATACCTTGGTTAATATAATATTAATAAAAATTGAAAGTTTATGGGGGTTTTTGAAAATATTACACAAAACATGCTGCAGGAGATCGCAGATTGTGGAGAGGCATGATCGCCCACGCCAGTCGGCAAGGCACCTGATGATGATGATGATTACACAAAAAATGCATTCGTGGAAAAAGTGTGCGTTTCTTTTTAGGTGCCTGCAGATTGTTAAGCGGGAAGTTGTAGCTTAGACTGTGCCGAAAGCTACTAGTACTGACTATAGAATAGTCGTCATCGCATTCACATTCTGTAAACTCCTGCGGAAAGTTTTGGTTGTTCGTCCACCTTCGGATGTAGTCTTGTTCCAGAACCTGAGCCTTGTGGGCACATCTGTTATACAGATCTGAATTTTGAGTATGCAGATTGTTGATTCCTTGCCTCACAGGCAGATGCAATCCGGCTTCGACGTATTTGGAAGCTCCGGAAATGTGGTTTTATTGACGAATGATGAGAATACACTGGACAAATAAAAAGTGTAATGAAGACGTCTCAATAGAAACTGACTCACGAAGAGAACTGATTGCCAACATCAGAAAGAGACAATCTACGTTCTTTGGTCATGTGATTAGAAGGAGAAAACTGGAGTACATCGTGAGGTAGGAAAGTTGGAGGGGAAGAGATGCAGAGGGAGACCGAGAGAACAGATGCTGGATAGTCTGACATCAGGGCATGGAAGATCATCTATGTCAGAGTTAACTGAAAGTACACGAGACAGAAGGTTGCGGATAGACATGACTATCAACGCCACACGGCATAGACTTTAAGAAGATTAAGACAGTGGTTATCTGTTTGCTCATCGGCGCTATCATACGGGATAATACCCATGCGGAATTAAGTAGATTCATATCCTGTAAGTATGTTTTTGAACACAATGACTATATGAACCAAGTTTTAATTTATCCTATTGCATATTTCAGTCATACTGGTAATTAAAGAGCAACAGGTTAGCTGGTTTAACCGTTTGATGAGAATGTTCTAGTACCACCTGCCAGGAAGTACAAAGCTGAGGCAATATAATGAAAGTCAGTGCAAAAGATACAACGACATAGTCAAGAACAGCCTTAAAGAAGTGAAGAGCAGCTTGTGTAGTGCACTAAAAAGAATACAATACAATAACACTTTGATGAAGTAACTGGTGGAATAGAGGATACTTCACCGCGTTCAAGACATGTGAAGAGCCGTCTGGTATTTCTAGGCCATAATTCTTTTCCTGTAAAATGGCACATCGTAAATGTGAAGTTTACGTCACTATTTTCTTCTAGTGCGACTAACCCAGTTATCAAGACAGATTAGTTAAATACATAATCAATAATCATTAATTTGTGTGTATGCGTTAGTTACGTTGCAACAATTATTTGAATATATTTAATTAGCAGTTTATCAGACATCACACTGTGAAGGACACTCTTGTCTTAACTGGCAGCTCTCTTGCTGGTGTAAGCTCGGTTCCTAGACTATATGCCTGATTGTTCTTGAGGATGGATAAAAGTAACGGAAAACTGCATTATTCTGTGAGTAATATTTAGAAAATGTAGAACTTTATAAGTATTTGTACAAATTATTGCGTAAATCCATACTACACACATCAGAAGCAGACACGACAATCCGTATTATTTGGACACTCTGTGAGAAGACATATAGAATTCACAAAAGAGTTGCATGGTAGTAGACCGCGAGCAGACCAAAAAGGTTGCCGAGAGGTAATATACATGCAAACCTACAAGTACTTATAGACACAACTGAAAAGAGAAGGCCATTCCCAGAGATGAATGGAAGCCAAGGATATCTGCAGCAGTAAATCTCATGGGCTCGAAATGCTGAACAAGAAGAAGAAGAAGAAGAAGAAGAAGAAGAAGAAGAAAAAGAACAACAACAACAACAACAACAACAGCCATAAAAAAGAAGTAGAAGAAGATGATGAAGAAAAAGAAGAAGAACAAGAACAAGAAGAATAACAAGAAGAACAAGAACAAGAACAAGAAGGAAGGCATGAGAGAAGAAAAACATAAGTACGTTGTGCTAATTAGAACTTTAAAGGCTAAGAAAGGCATAGGAAGACTAAGAGAGAAGACGCTGGGCAGGTATATTGCCGTGCAAGGATATATCTACAAGAAATTATTGAATCAGGAGGATGTGGACAGTCAAGATTACTAAGGCCACACCTCGGGGACTATATAAGAATAACAGCCATTTCATATAGTATAGTCTAAATAAATGTCTTAGAGCATTGGTTTTCTACCTTTTTTACGTGGCAACCCCCTGAACGACACCTACCCCCTTTTCCCCCAGTCACAGGGCCAGTCTTTAAAAAATGTGATTGAAAATAGGAAAGAAAACCTCCAAACACTATTAAAAAGAACTGTGTTATCCTGTTAGTGATATTTGATTGATTTGATTTGATTCAAGAACCGACATCACAGCACTCGGGGCATTTCCATAAGCGCTCCGTCCCCATCTTCAGCAACCAGCGAAGAGTTCCGATACTAATGGTGCCAGTAGCATTCTGATTAAACGTCCGTCTGGCCTTTCTTCTGAGCCTCGAGCATCTGCCAGCACCTCTCGTCACTCCCCGCTGCATCAATCTCACCAGACTGTGGTGATCCGTCTGCTCTTCCGAACTGTACACGCTCTCCCACAAGGCACTAACCACGTCTGCCTTATCATGTATCAGTATTCCACCAAGTTGGGCAGAGACAGCCAGTCTGCTCGCTTGTTCATTTCCCAACACAGCGGCGGCCCCAGTGAAAAAAATCCAGATATTACTCCTCACTCGTGTCCTCCACAGCGAAGCATGCCACTCTGCACGAAGCATACCTGTTCTGATCTTCCTCAGCATGCTTTCTGAATCAGTTACAATCACAATGTGTGTGTGTCGGTTCTCTAGCCAGCGGAATGCTGCAGTGACCGCCTCCACCTCAATTCTTAAGCTGAATGTTTCATATGCTAGGCTCTCCTGCACCAAACGCCGACCATTTACTTTTGCTAAGAAGCCCCAAGCAATTCATTTGCCTCTTGACACTGAACCGTCTGTGTAAATGATCAAATCCTCTGAGCGAGCATTATCTTGAATTAATTGCTGAATTTCTACCTCTGTGGCACCTGCTGGCCAGTCTCTGCATTCCCGGCTCAGCGTGATTATGACTCTACACAAGTCTGACTGTTCAGGTGGCACTTTGACCCACTCTTTTCCTCGCCTAATGTTCTCAAAGATGCAAACCTGTCTTACTGCGTCTTCTGCCTGAGCCATCCATGACCTCCATCTTATCAGCCGCTGAACCTTAACTGCACCCAGAGCTTCATGCATAGGGTGGTCTGTGTCTGCAGCACGGCCTTCTCTATTTATAGGCCAACTGGGTCAACGGGGATTCCCGTTCTTGTGCAAGAATGGAGTCCCTCTGTGTTAACAGTTTTTATCGAGGAGATACAACCGGACCTGCAGCTACCCTGAGATATGACTTCGCCTGCAGCACCTGGTGCCTACCTGCAACTGTCGGCAGACCAAGGATGTATCGCATACACACCACTGGGGTGTCTCTGGTGCAACCCAGAATGACCCGCATAGCCACGTTCTGAATGCGCTCTAGTTTGTCCATCTGCCTCTTTGAGACGGTAAGCATTCCCAGGCCATAATCAACCACTGACAGGATCAGGTGCTGATATAGTGTGAAAAGCATTCTCTGCTTTATGTCAATTGCAGCCAAAGTCTTAAGCACTAAGTCCTTTTTAGCATCTCATCACAACACTCTCCACATGGTCCTTAAATGACAGGCTCCTGTCAAATGTAATTTCTAGATACTTCAGTTTGCTCTCTCTGTTGACGTTCCTACCATCTATCGTGAGACTTGGGACATTAGCTTTAACGATTCTGTTGTCCAGAGAACACCACAAAACAGACGTCTTTTCTGGGTGGACGACAGCCCTCATTTCTGTGCACCACTCAGTCACTTTGTCTACTGGGCTGTTTGTTTCCTCTCTTCCCCCTGCCTATATGCAAGTATATCATCCGCAAAAGTCAGTATCCTTTCAACTCCTGGTGCTTCTAGGCTTGCAATCTTGCTCGTATACGTCAAAGAGCACAGGCGAGATGGCGGATACCCGTGGCAGTCCTGGGGCCAAAGTGCATGGTTCTGAGGTCCATGAGCCCAGTCGGAGAGCAACCCGACGTGAATACAGGACAGCTGCAAACCAATTCACCAGCCATGGACTGACCTTCTCTCTCAGTGCAGTCATTAAGATGTCGTATCTCACTCTGTTATAAGCATCCTCGAGATCCAGTCCTACCGTCATAGTTTTGTTAGTTATATTTGTAAAGGTAGATAGATGTACATACTGCTCATGAAAGTATAAAAAGTCTTCGGCTTTTAGTGTTCTACAAAACTGTTGAAAGGGAAGGGGGGATGTTAGCATAACAGATTATTAGAAGTAGATTTGCAATTTCAAAATTGTTTGACACCCCTTGAAAATGAAATGTTAGTATAACAGATTATAACAAATTGTTTGACACCCCTTGAAAATGAAATGTTAGTATAACAGATTATAACAAAATTGTTTGACACCCTCTTAACAAATTAGTAAGTACAAATGTAATTTCAAAATTGTTTAACACCCCTTTGAAACATCTTTGCACCCACCCCCACCCCTCCCCACTTTTTTTTGCCACGGGGCACTTGTCCCCAGGTTGAGAACCACTATCTTGGAGAGATTAAAAGAATATTTACGGACGAGAGAATGGATTTCATTGCGCTGGGTTTTATCTGATGTGGGTAGTCAACTGGTTGTCTGAGGAAAGTGTGGAGCAACAAGTAAAACTACTCATCTATAACTTATTCTTCCCTTCCATTTGTTTTTTTTAACTGCTTGTGTTGTCGAGAGAGACATATGTTTTTTTCCTACTAACAGTCCATTTGTATCTCATCGTATTCGCTGTAGCCATAATAGCGCCATTGCCTGTTGCAACTTCATCAGAAAGCGGTTGGCTAGGACGTTTCGGGGTGACCAAAGATGGTCGTCTTGGCTATCTTGTGCCCCGTGGCACAAGGCCACACCATACTTCCCCCAATCCTAGCAATCCCCTAGTGTTTTATATTTACGACCTCTCACGACGTGGACGTGGGGTTGGGCTTTGAAAGACAACTGTATCACAACAACTACCTTTCGCCACTTTAAAGCAGAGGTTCTAAACCAGTGGGTCGCGACCCTTTTTGAGTCGAACGACATTTCACAGAGGTCGCCAAAGACCATCGCAAAACACATATTCACTAAACTGGAGGTGACCACAACACGAGGGGCGGCGTCTGTGGCTTAGGCGTTGCGAGTCCGACCCGTAATTCCAACGTACCGCGATCGAAATCCACTGCTGGATGCGTGGATTTTTATCATGGTACGGGGCGTCGCAGGTCGACCCAGCCTAAACTGAGTACCAGGATGTATGTCCTGGGAAAGTAAAGACGGCCGGCGTAATGCTGACCACATTACCCACCTAGGGCCGATTGGTCTGTGATTGGTCTGTACAAATATGAGTGCTCTTCCCATATGCACAATGCGCCTAAGGCGTGAAAAGGGATCTTTACTTTTGGAAGTCGCCGTGGCGTATCGGCTAGGAGCTCGTGTGCAGATCGGAAAGTTGGGGTTAGCTCCCTGGCGGAGCTGGACGATTTTTTTTAGATGACCTTGACTCCCAGGTCGATCCACCCTTGAATGGGTACCGGGTGCAGTCCCGGGAAGTAAAGGCGATCGGGGTGATGCTGACCATATCACCCATCTATTGCCGATTGGTCTATAAAAATATAGGTCTAGCCCTATATGCCCTATACGCTTAAAAGCGTAGAAAAGCCCCCCCCCCCACCTTTTTTTTACAACACAAGGAAATGTATTGAAGGGTCGCGACATTAGGAAGGTCGAGAACCACTGCTTTAAAGGAAGAAAGAGGAAGCTGGAACATGTCACAACAGCGAAGGTTTATAGACAGAAAGATAGAGGAAGACAACTGGAGAACATTCTTGACAGCTTTTTGTCATGGCTTGGAAAAGTGCCAGAAACTGAAGTGATACAAGCTCTTGAAGATCGCAAGTATAAGAGAAGTAGCATTACCCAGTCGGTAAGACACGACAACGTTGTTGTTAATGGTGATGCTGATGATGACGACAGACCCAAGCCTTACACAGCACTACAAACAGTAACCAGCAAAATGGTAAAATAACGAACGCTTTGATACTTCTGAGGAAATGAAGATGGGATTAGGGAGTTGATGGGGGAGGGGGACTGGGGAGAAAGGGGGAAGAAGAAGAAGAAGAAGAAGAAGAAGAAGAAGAAGTAGTAGTAGTAGTAGTAGAAGAAGAAGAAGAAGAAGAAGAAGAAGAAGAAGAAGAAGAAGAAGAAGAAGAAGAAGAAGAAGAAGAAGAAGAAGAAGATGATGATAATGATAATGAAGGGATGATATACGAATATGATCAAGGTAACATAAACTGATTAAACAAAGCACGACTTAAGTGACCTTGTCTTAAAATACTTCATTCTCTGTAGTTGAAACAAAGCCAGGAAAATGGCAAGCTAAATCCATCTAATCAATTTCAAGCACAGTTTCAAGGTATTTGAAAAACTAAGTTGTATTGTCATCATCATCATCATCATCACCACCATCTTCACCACCATCATCATTATCGACCAGAAGTTCTGGCCTCACGTTACATAAGCGTAGATAAACCGGCCTTTGAAATCTTGGCTCCTCGTCTTTATACTACTGCGTGTATGGTGAAAATATGGGAGGGACTGCAGTCAAGCTAATACAAGAAATTCCAGGGAAATTGGACTAAAAAGCTTGGCCAAATGAGGAGGCAGACAAATGTGTTGTTTTGTGCACGTTTTTCTGCTTCCCCACTGGTTTAGCTTTTTAGTCAAATTTCCCTGGAATTTCTGTGTGTATACTATCTGCACTGCCTACTACTGCAGATAGGCTCAAATTTCTGCTAGCAAAGTAATGTGTCAGCGTCACGAGAAACACAGATGCAAGCCAAACTGTACGGGTCGCTGACTGAATTACAACAGACAGTGAAGTTTATACTAGAGACCGAATTGCAGATATGGATAATCTATTTCAAGCGAACAAAAGAAGAAGCTGCAGACAAAAAGCACCTCCAGTATGAAGCCTTGGGTAGAAATAAGGGTTACCGACTGAAAAGAAAAAGGTCTTGGATGGCCCAAACTGAAGACACAATTAAGACATGTGTACAGGCTTGATACATTTGGGCGAGGAGAGAAGTGGGTCAAAGCTTCAGGCTTGTGTAGGGTTTTTATCATTTTAGGTCATGAGTGCAGGGTCTGGCCAGTTGGTGCTGTAAAATCAGAAGTTCAACAAATGATTCATGACAATTTCTGCCCAGATGAAACGATAATATATACAGATTCTTTTGTGTCGAGGGGGTAAACGAAGTGCATGGGTGTTTATAGTAAAAGTGAATGGTTGTCGCTTAGTGCAACAAAGCCTGGCACACGATACTACAACATCTAGTTTGAGAATGGAGGTGGAGCAGTTACTGCTGCCTTCCGTTGGACTGAGAATGAGCTGTACACACATGTCGTGATTGTAACTGACTCAAAGAGCATGTTAAGAAAAGTGGAGACAGGCATGCTCCATGCAGAGTGACAAGCATAAATTCAGAGGTCTCGGGTTGTTAACATCCTTTGGATATTTTCTCCAGTTAATGCCGGTGTGTTGAGAAGTGAACAGGCAGATAAACTGGCCGGTTCTTTATCACTTGTTAGTGAAATTGATGTATGAGAAGCTAGATGTTGTAAGGGCCCTTTGGGAGCGAGTGAACTGTGTGGAGGCACAGATAGATCACTAAGGTCTGAGGAAAATGGCGCTGCGAGGAGTTACCGGTGGGATCTGACCGACGCTTAAACACTCAAGGGAAAAGGTGAGACGGATATACAATCAGTTACTGGTGCCATCAGAATTTGAACTCTTCGCTTGCTGCTGAAGATGGGGACGGAGCGCTTATGGTAGTGTCCTGAGTGCTGTTGTGTAGATTTTTAATTTAACATTCGACTACTTCTCTGTGTTTTCTTCAACTGCTCCTTTCCTTGACTGCCGTTATCACTGTAATACGTGAATTTATCATAAGGGGTGCAAATGATAACACTATGGGCCAAAAGGAACTATAGTAACAAAGGATGATGAAGGAATGGTAGCAGTAATTTTCAAACACATATACAAGCACGCGCGCGCGCACATACACACATCCATATCCTGTTCGACCCTCTGTTATAACTGGGATGCAAAGTATTCATTGACTTTTCGGAGTATATAGTCGCTATTTTATGTATCTTTTAATCATTTCTTTTAGATATTTATGCAGTTTATATTAATACTGAAAATTATAACAGAAGGCATGGTACCAGGAAGGAGGGGCAGGGGCCCTACCGACACGAAGATGGGCACAAAGATATAAGTGACTCCTTGAGTTTGAAAGTGCATGAGGCGAGAGAACTGGCGAGAGACCGAGTTTCTTTCAGGCAGACTGTGATGAGAGCGACGTTCTGCAAAAGAACCTTCTACATGATGATGCTAGTATTACTATTTGAAATAGTGTTATGATCACAACGTTTTGGTTTCGATTACAACAGGCACTTTACCATTATAATGCAGATAATATTAATAACATTGTGTCTTAAATTACTTGATTTATTAAAAAAATTCGTATAGCTGTTGATCATTCCTAATAACGAAAGGGTTTTTAGTTTAAAACTACACATAGCGCAAATGTTAGATAATGAGGTAGATATCGTTTCCTCATGACAATACAGTAGATCTCACAAATATTTCATCAGATAGATATCAGTAATCAGTTACACTGAATGTAATAGGTGAAGGTCAGAAAGTGATTTTACTGGGTATCACTGATATGCACCCTTTTGATTAGCGTCATACCATGCATTTAATAGTTGATGAAAAATAGGCGTGTGTGATGCAGTATGTGCTAGTGAAATAAACTATAGTGCGACTGTACTAGAGCCAAATAGTAGTGATGTTTAAAGTAGTATTAGTAGTTTTTAAAGTCGTAGCAGTTAAAATAGTACTATTAGTTATTGTTGTTGTAGCAGTAGAACTTATAGTAGTAGCAGAAGCAGCAGCAGCAGCAGCAGCAGCAGTAGTAGTAGTAGTAGTAGTAGTAGTAGTAGTAGTAGTAGTAGTAGTAGTAGTAGTGTAGTAGTAGTAGTAGTAGTAGTAGTAGTAGTAGTAGTAGTAGTAGTAGTAGTAGTAGTAGTAGTAGTAGTAGTAGTAAGAATAATAAATAGTAGTAGTACTCAGGACATTTTTTTCTGGTGGTACGCAGTACCTGCATACCTGTATGTTCAGTGCTACTGTTTCAGATACATTATGGTGAGCACGGCACTATTGGAGACACTTTCTGGCACCTTTTCTTCTAACTGATGGTAGTATTAGTGGCGATTTATAGTAGTATAGTAGTAGTAGTAGTAGCAGCAGTAGCTGTATTAATAATAGTAGCAGTAGCAGCAGCGAGAGCAACAGTCATTTTCATATAGATTATATCCGAATAAACCCGCGTGTTCTAACTACACAGTAAGCTAGTTGTGTATAATTGTTTCAGCTTAATAAACAAACAATAAATTTGGCTGCAGTTGCACGATTTTTCTGGCACAAACAATACCAAAACCATCTCCTTCTGCCCATCTGGCAAATGAAGTTCAGAAACAGGCAATCTAAAAACAAAAGGTTTTAACGTTGATAAAATTCCTCTCACAAATAACTGGAGTTTACCTTCTATGAGGTGGATTATTATGCGATTCCTGGATTACTGTGACAAATATGAATCACCGAACAGGTAAGTTAAGTAAACTGGAAGAGAGATGTTGAATAGTTTATCGAATTTATGGTTGAACTTTCGCGCGACTGGGATGTCTTAAAATGCAACAGTCGTCGTCTGCTGTAAGTCGGGATCAGTTTTGGACATAAAGATTTGCGTTATGTTTATAATTTAGTCAGAGAGTTGGGGTTGATGGTTAAAATGAAAAACAGGTTGTAAAAGGCACACTATTGATTGTTACAGTTGGTACAGTACATTTTTTTAATGTCTTTTAAGATGTGCCTACAGTAGAGTTAGATATAAATATTCTGATACCTGTGCTCATAGAGATAAGTGTTTGTCCATGGATGGTGATCTGCATTCACGTATGGTTGCCCTTCGCCTGGGTACATGAACCTCGGAACCAAATAATATCGCCCCTGGACTACACCAGGGTTCCGCAGTTTAACCAGTGCACTTTAATTAATTTACAAGCAAATTTTCAGAACTTAAAGCACCAAGTGCAGGATATTGACATTTACAGATGATGTTCTTGCATAGAGGCAGTGCAGCGATAGGAAACAGCACAAGAGCTACAGAAAAGAAAGCTGTTTTGTGGTGTGCTCTCTGGAAAATAAATTGTAAAAGCCAATGTTCAAGCCTCACAATTACTGATAGAAACATCAAAAAAGAAAGCAAACTGAGGTATCTGGGTATCATTTTCGATAGAAGCCTGTCCTTCAGAGATCATGTGGAGGCAGTTGCAGTGAAATGCCAAAAAGGACTCAATGCTCTAAAGATTATGGCAGCAAAAGACATGGAACAAAGAATGCTGTTCACAGTGTTCCAGCATGTGATTTATGTCGATAACATATTATGTACTTGGAATGCTTGCCATACCAAAGAGTCAGCTGATGAAACTTGAAGCCCTTTAGCCTCTCAAAGGTGGAGCAACATAAATCCTGCATTTTATTTTAGCTCTATGGAGAAAACATTTCTCAAAGTCCAATTACCTCATATTGGTCAGGCCATTTGGTCAGGCCATTTGTGTCCTATGTTTCAACACAACATTTTGGGCTCCAGGCCCTTTTGGGGGAAAAGGAAAAGACCCCTGTCTCCCTAACAAAATTGTCATTGAAAACTAATTAGGGGTTTTTTGAAAACCAAAGGGGGAAAAGGAAAGGGGAGATATTGCCTCCCCGTCGAAATTTCAGCACAACCTGGAACTGCCTTTTTCCCTTTTTACCTCGAAAAGTTTTTTTTAAAAAAAAGGGCCCTGAAAACCTGAAATTTCAAAAATAAAAAAAAAAAACCTTTTAAAAAAAACAAAAAAATTTTTTACCTGCAGTAAAAAATTGTTTCATCTTTATTTATGTAAATTTTTGAAATTTTTTGTTGAAAAAAATATAGAGATATATAAAGGAATAAAACTTCTTCTCACTTTTTTCCGTTCACCATCTGTAAAAATCCCTCAAAAAATTATGCTTGTTCATCCAATTCTGGGCTTCAGCCTGTTCCTAAACCGAGTGTTTTCGTGTGCATCTGTTTTACAGATCGACTTATTTTTTGC